AGGTGGTTTATGGTGAGGTCGAGCATGAGGTACATCCCGCGCGAGTGGAGTGCGGAGCTGAGCGAGGTGAGGTCGGAGGCGCTGCCGAAGTGGCCGTTCAGCGCGTTCTGGTCGACCGGCCAGTACCTGCGCCGTTAACGAATGAATATGATGCGGAGAGGAGGAGGGATGGAGGCGCACCCGGGGTAGGCCTCGCCGTAGTATGTTTCGCCCTCGATGTTAGCGACGATGGGTGAGATCCAGACGGCGTCGAACCCCATGTGCTGGATGTAGTCCAGCCTGCTTTCGATGCCCTTCCAGGTGCCGCCGCAGTACTTCCGGCTCGCGACGTCGCACGGCGGCGAGGAGCCATCGGACGTGGCGAACCTGTCCGTCATGAGCTACCGCGCAACGTCAAGTCAGCGTGCGTGTGATTTTGGACAAGTGCGGGGGTGGTCTGACCTGGTATATCGACCTGCTGCGCCATTCGTCGGCGGTAGCGGCGAGAGAGGGTGCTGCAAGGAGACATGATACTAGCAGGCTTCGCAGCATATCTGGGAATGTGTCCGTTAAGCCTTGGAGAAGCTCGTCCGAGGGAAAGGCTTTATATCTCTACATTCGTCTGGGTGCTCGCTGTGAGCTGGCACTTGCTCGCATGTTCTTCGCTCGAGCGACGGCCTTGGCGCAGCCGGAAAGCAAAAGCTCGCATGTCTGTCGCTCGAACGATAGCGAACTTTGTCGTTATCGGCTAGTCCACGCAGAAAAATCGACTATTGGGTTAAAGGGGTAGTCATGTAGCGGACCAAGTCGTTTGACCCCACATACGTACAGGCTTACGTTTTGAGGATTGATACCGTCTTAGCACCGACTTGTGCCGCATTTGCGCCTCTTCGTGAATCTGCGCGCATCCTGGTCGCATACGAGTTTTAGTCCGTTAAACGTGTTATAACCGGCACTTACACATTACCATCCGTTCGTTGACGTCCGAGGTTGAGATTTCCATTCCCTCATGCGCTTGTTTCTGATCCGATAATCGCAGCCGTGTAGGGAACGAAAATGTCCTGCTCTGGCCGTGGACCTTCCTTTGACAGGTTAGCTTCGCTCTAGTGTTAAGGTTGGCCGCTTTGATGCCTCTTCGTGTTCTGCGCGCACCCTTATCGCATAGTGCTGCTAGTATATCGTGTACGTTACGAACAATCACTTACTCTTTCATCTCAGAATGACGTCAGAGGAGAGATATTCATTCCTCTATATGAGTGTCTCCGCGACGGTAGCATAATCGCTAGCGGTTGCTGCGCCGTACACGCGCAACTGATCTCGACTGTCTCGCTTCAGTCGAAGCTGCTAATCACCTGGACGAAGCAACATACTAAAGGCAGCCTGAGTGCCGAGAGACGGTCATCGCCCCGCCCGATACTAGGTTACTGTGCGGCAAGCATCGTTCCTCGCTTTTGCTGTAGTGGTCAATGCTCGATTTTGATTGATAGGATATCCACATACGAGCGTTTCTCTGTAATTCGACGCGAAGAACGATATGGTGGCCTTTCAAATTCTAGTATAGCTAGACGCGCGAACTCCAAGACCTGCCAAATTCGGACACACACGCGAGATGCATGTTCAAAGTCGAGACACCACAGCCCCTCCGTAGCCACAAACAACGTAGCCACAGCCCACCACAGCGACAGCACTCGTCTTGACTTTCATCCACCACCTCTCTCTTCCTGCTGGCGATGAGAACGACCGCGTGAACTCATGGTGGACACTACGCGGGTGATAGAGATCTTCTCCTCGCCCGAACTCTCTCCGATTCGGCAGCCTCGTCGCACAGCGACTCGGAGCGGCAGCAAGAAAAGCGCGGCTGTCGACGACGATGTCATCGACTTGAACGATTCCGAGGGACTCGACTTCCGATTCTCGTTTAGAGTGCCCTTTGTGAAGTCGCAACAGAAGCTTCCTGAATCGCCCGTGGCAGGCCCGTCTCGCGCAGCTCGCGCAGGACCCGCGCATGAACCCGCGAATAACTATAATCCTCTGCCCGAGTCGGACGATGACCGCGAGGGTGAACCATCTATCAAGATTCGAGGGAAGCAGCGCGCGAAGCCCGCGCCAGCAGTAGCGCCACCGGCGGCGGCACATCGCTATCGATACCCTTCTGCGCCTGCCAAACCCTCAGAGCCAGCCACAGAGGAAGAGGCTCGGCGCCCCTCCCTCGACGAGTATATCGCGCAAGTGCTCGAGATCATCCCCGACGTCGAGCCGGAATATGCGCGCAAACTCGTAGAGCGGCATCACTCGACATACAAGGGCCAGATCGTCGGGCAGGTCATCCATATGCTTTTCGAGAACCCGGACTACCCCAAGGTTGATCCTAAGGGGAAGGCGAAGCGGAAGCGAGAAGAGGAGCCGGCGCAGCCTGTGGAGGCGAAGAATGCGAAACAGAAGGTGGACTATGGGAATAAGGATAGGCAGGTGAACGTTGGATTAGGATACCCGATGCAGGCGCTCGTATGTGCACTTTACCGTTGTCCAATAGTCGTTGCTCACCCTGTTACGCAGGATCAATTGAAGCTGGACTTTCCGCTCATCCCTACTAACTATATTCGGCACCAGCTCGCGCTGAACAACGTCCTCTATGCGCCGACATATCTGGTCCTACACGAGCAGTCGAAGCTTGAGAACCTGCCTTACAAGCAAAAGGCCACTGCGACGCGTCGTGGACGCAAGGGCAAGGCCGTCGTGCGTCTCGATGAAGAGCTTGAGAAGGAGATTGAGTGGGTAAAGCTCAAGCTTCAGAGCGGGTTAGAGGATGATGCCCAGGCGGCCGAGGAGCCCGAGGACGGCATCGAGTGTGCATGCTGTTTCTCTGTATATCCGTTTGTAAGTTCGCGCTTAATACGCGTGAGACTGGCTCATCAAATCGTGCCTACAGGAGAAAATGATCCAATGCCCCGAAGCGCACCTCTTCTGCATGGACTGCATGACATCCTACGCATCGACGAAGCTCGGCACTCACGACGCAAACATTGTGTGTATTGATCAAACCGGTTGCAAGCTCGCGTTCCCAGAGTCTGAGCTGCGCCGGTTCCTCAGCCCTAAGCTGCTCTCACTGTACGAACGCGTTAAGCAGCAAAAAGAGATCGAGGCAGCTGGGCTGGAGAATTTGGAGGAATGTCCGCACTGCGAGTATAAATGTGTCATAGAGAACGAGCAGGAGAAGCTCTTCCGGTGCCAGAATGAAGATTGCATGGCTATCACTTGTCGTCAGTGCAAGAAACCCGTACGTCATGGTTATCACAAAGAGAGCGGAAGTCTGACGCGATTCATCCTGTTATCACTAGGATCATCTCCCGAAGAGTTGCAAGGGTATGTCGTCTGATTTGCAAGATTGTATCTGTCGTATCATGAGATATGCGCTGCAGAGATGGATGAAGATAAGAAGCTCGACGCACGACATACCGTTGAAGAAGCAATGAGTGGGTGTCGATGTGGTAGCCGTGTGCAGTGTCGCTGATGAGATGTCTAGCTCGCGCACTAATGCGCAACTGTCCCAAGTGCAGCAAAGGTATGACCTCGACCCTCTTTTTATTTCGGCTGATACCGAGTAGACGCGACTCGAAGCATTTGTGAAGGAGATGGGGGTGCGTGCAATGATCCTTGTTGTTATCAGTACGGCTTAAGTCTCTTCCAGTGCAACAAGATGACTTGCCCTCATTGCCATACACTTTCTTGTTATGTATGTCGGAAAATTGTCACAGGCTATGACCATTTCAATAACGTAAGTCAACTCTCCATGCCATCGTATCCTTTGCAACTGAGGCATGTTTTTATAGCCACCTCCTTACACAAACCGTCCAGATCCGAAGAAGTGTCCACTCTGGGATTCAGTCGAACAGCGACACAGCCAAGAGGTGCGTACTGGATACATAATTTCATTCATTGCTTCTCACATTCTAGCTGCGGATTATGTTCAGGTCGCAGCTGCAGGCAAGAAAGCTATGGAGGAGCTCAAGCGCGCCCACCCCGAGCTCTCGGAGAAAGATCTTCACGTTGACCTCCCACCTCCTCCCCCTCCCGATGCTGGCCCGTCCAATGCTCAGGCCGGGCCCGTGCCGCGCGTGCCCGGCATTATTATGGGTATACCCGTCGCGCGGGGAATCCAGGCGGCTGGTGAGGCAATGCGAGCGCGGATAGAGGCACTGGGCCGACTTCAGGCCAACATGAACGGGTATCAGGTGTATCCTGCCGCTCCCCGGGTGCAGCTGCAGCCCCCTCCTGTAGTCATTCCCCCTCCCGCCCATGGACCTCTTCCACCTGCTCACCTCGCAGCGGGTCATGTTCATGTGCAAGTGGGAATGCCTTTTGGTATCCCCGCGCCTGCTGTTGCGCCTGTGCAAGTCCAAGCACCTGCTGCTGCTCATGTACGTGCCCATGCACACCGCGCAGCTCGCATCCAGCTGGCTCGCCCTCAAGCTGCTCACGCCGTTCGTGCTGCTAGTGCTCCTGCTCGTGCGCGAGAGCCGAGAGCGAGGGCTGCAAAGGCTCCGAAGAGACATTGATTCCTATGGAAATGCCGGTGCTGTGCTGTACCGTGTGTAATGTGCTGTCTCCGCAATCTTATATGTGTGTATCCTAGCTTGTGCTATTACAATGATCTTATCACGGTTGAGAATCCGATTGGCAGCAGATATGATGCCAAGTCGTGCTGGGACTATGTGTGCTGGGACTATACGTGAACTGCGCGGCGGTTGAACGTATCGCGAGATGTACCATTACGCCTATGGCGTTTTAGTTATCTCCCTCCACCCCCTCCAGGACGTTCCACGTAAACGAGCGGCGTTAATATTGCGTATTTCGGTCGGAGAGAGTTGTAGGATGACCTGTACACGTACATAGTATTAAATGATGACCGAGTACGCCCTGTCGGACACTTACACCACAGTAGGCGCGCGCTCTATTTCCGCTCGTTGTACCACAAGCAAATTCATCCTGCCCAATAGACCTTACAGTATGTACTGGGTCAGACTAGAATAGTCCCAGGAGAATCCGCGGTACGCGTACTGGCAACGAGTCACGTGACCGAGAAAAGGAAAGGAAACTTGTCCCGAGGAACGTCGACCTCCCATTTAACTCCTCGCTGCTGTCTTTGATGCTTCCATGCAACTACGACACCAAGCTTATACGGCTTGGTAGACTTAATTAGTTGAATTCAGTGTGCGGTACTTGTCTGGTACGCCCGTGAGGCCCTACCAGACACGCCGGCGGCATGGACGTGAAAGTTTCGCAATCACACATACCTGTCTTGACCCCGCGTAAACCACCCAAATCTTCGCCTACCACTCTATCCATTCCAAGTCTCGGGCTTGCTACGCCATCTAAACACCTTTCTGTGAGTGCTATCCCAAGCTCCAGCTCGAGTTCATCCAGTGGGAGCGGCGGCCTCGCTTCTTTCCGCTCGTTCCGCAACCTGTTCTCGACTGCTTCTTCTAAGCAAACATCCTCAACTTCCAAGAGTACGTTCGCTGGGTTTGGATCTATCCGGCGTTCGGCCCATGGCGATCGAAACGTCTCAGCCGCTCAAATGAGCCGGGAAAGCTCTGGTGACGATTCCCCTGTACTTGATGCCGACGACACGCAACCGCAGGTAGGGTGCAGCAGAAATGACGTAGAATGTAATGGCGCCAAAACTGGTTTTGAGACACCGGAGCCCTTGTCGTCGCGTTCGTCTTCGGGCTCTTCCCTACACGCTGGACGCGAAAAGGGTATGTCACGAACGTTATGGATAAGAGATCTCTCAAGGCTGAGTAGGCTATGTATCATACTCAGGGCCCCTTACAGTTGTCCCAACAGATCTCTCTACAATCATCGAAGCAGAGAATTCGGCTCTATCACGACATATACCGATAGTGGATGATTCGCACGACGATGAGGACGTGAGGAATATTCTCTCTGGAAGGGTATCACCAGCCCCGGGGGCCTCCGAGAATCGCACACAAACCTCTCGGAACGAGAGCCATGCATCGACTTCACAAAGTACCGCCCTCGATCTGTCCAGCTCGGACGTCCGCACAGAGGTTCTGCGAGCCATGTCTGGAAAGGACCGCACCGAAGGATGGCTGCATGGTGTTGTGGTGGACGACGCTGGCGATGACCTCGCTGCAGACGAGGCATCTGCAGCACATCGCACGTCCGGTGAACCTGACGTCAGTTTCAACCTCGGCGAGCTGGACCCTGACTTAGCAGCAATTCTGAGCCCTAATCGTTTCACCGAATCCGCACCCGTCGCTCATGCAGCGATTGGCACTCCTCGTCACCCTGTCTCCGTTGGACAGCCAGAGAGAGGGCGCACGCCGGTGTCTACAGCGCCCCAGCGCGAATCGGCTCCTCCGCGACGTTCAGCGCTCGCCGGAACGTCGCTCTCATCATCCACGCCAAGCTCGCGTCGCCCGGTATCCTTGTCTACGGTGGGTCCCTCAACCCCGCTCCTGCCCGCGAGCACACGCCTTGCTCGATCTGCGTCTGATCGACCGGAACTCTCGCGTCTCGGGCTTGGACCACCTCCCGTGTCCCCTTCTCGTTGCGTTACACACATGTCTCATAGCCCAGAACGGCCGTCCACAGCAGGTGCATCGAGCAGTCCGCCGTCTCGGTTTTCGTTCTCATCCAGAGAGGATTACCGCACGCTCCCGAGGCCGCATACAGTTCTCGATTCTGAGCCCCGGCGGCCAGCGATGTCACCTTTCCTCGCACCAACATGGTCTGGATCGCATGTGACACCGGGAGGCACTGTTCGTCCGTCGTCACGATATCTTACAAGGACCCCACCACATACCTACGCGAGTGCACCAGCGTCGCCAACCTCGCGCCCGGCGTCCGCAGCAAGCAGTGGAACGAGCCGTTGGCAGCCGTCACGACTCACCCGCGATGGCGTTTCGGAAGGCTCGCAGAGGATTGGACTTCCTTGGACGAGAGAGCGCAGTGCGAGCGCGGTCGAGTATCATCTCACTCAGGAACACGCCTCTGTACTATCTACCTTGAGGCCGCGAACCGCAAAGGCGTTCGCCGCGGCAGGGCTTCTGGACTTGAACAAGGACGCGAACGATGACACCCAGAGACGGCCAGCATCACGCTTTAGCATCCCAAGAGGCAGCATGGAAGATCCCCGCTCATGGCACGCACCATCGCGCGTGGCGTTCTCCGAGACAGGCTCGAGCACTTCTTGGAGTAGACGCAGTGCCAGTCGCTCGCGCCGAGAGAGCGTCTCGCATGAGAGCAGTGGGTTGCCAACGGATGGGAAGTCTACGCCCCGGACGATGTACTCCGGAGCATCTACTGCACCTACGTCCGTGACTGCATCATCCTCGGCGCATCTGCAGTCCGAATTGCAGTCGCTGCAGGACAGACACTCGATTGAGACGGGCGCGCTGCTGAGCGCTCTTGCAGATTCACAGCGCACATCGCGCGTGCTCAGGGAGGAGAACACGCAGCTCCGAGATCGTCTGCAGGAGACGGAGGATAAGCTTGCAGCGGCGCTGGAGGAGATCGAGCGCTTGCGGTACAGCGCGCAGACGAAACGCGTACCGACGGTCTCGCGGCTGGACCGCCCGCATCGCGTGTCTACGTCCCCCGATCGGACTGTTAGAACGCCCTACCTGCGCCTGCCAGCACGGCGGCAACAGACTGTTGATACATCTGCGGAGCTGCCATCTTCTCCTGAACCAGCCGTTCCCCTGCCGAAGACGCCTACTGACCGGGACGCGTTTCTAGATGTGCGCCAGAAGCGCCTGAGCGCGACGTCGTCGCTGTTCCCGGTGTTGCCCAGTAATATGTCTATGCTCATGCATGAGGAGGGCATCGCGCCCGAGCTGTGCGGCGCACTCTCGAGCAGTCATGGATCACCGCGTACGCCGCCGATGACGCTCAAGGAGTTGAATAGCGCGCAGACGCAGACGCCGGGCAATATCTCGCCGACTACGGAAAATTTCTCGATGACTACGGGCTCGCCGGCCAGCTTGAATCTGCGCCCCGAGCATGAGCTGCACTTGCAAGACATGTCGGAATTTGATCTTTCTTCGGATTACGATGCTGAGGATGGGTATCGTTGACCCTCAAGGTTTTTTCGAAGGTCTGATCGTTCTTATGTGTTTATCGATTCGTGTTGCATTACTTTTGGGACTTTGTGCCACAGTTCAAACGTTCAGCCTTCGTCTTATACATACCACACTTATACCCCCGCATATCTGCACATCGCTTTCACATTCACAATAATTGTTTCTTCCTGTGCAAATACTCTCAGCTCCTTGCTATCGCATCTGCGCTCGCTATCGTTTCTCCGTCAATCCTTGCCATGTCTTCCTGTGTTGTACTTGCATGTATATCAGTCAAAGGACCGGAATTTCCATGATTTCTGATGGTTGACAAAGAAGTCCAATTCGTCTTGGCAAGAACGATCAGGAAGCCTCGAGAGTGAACTTTTGCGTCCCTTCCTCTCTACTCTTGGTGTTCCTTGTCGTCCACTATTCGAAGGCAGTCGCTCCCCACATTAAATGACTGCACCAGTCCCGTCATTTTGCAGATGGTTTCCTATCTCGTGTAGCGGATTTTCTTCAATGGCAATACCTCACGACAATCATCTAAAGAATGCGCGTTCTGGACCAGTGGCTTGATCGGCCTGCAGCGTAGTTCGCAGTTTCAGTTCCAACACTCCTTGGGGAACTGTTCCATCACGGAATACTTGTCGGAGTGATCGATCAGCTGTAGCCCTTCATCTTTGCACTTTCCTGCAACAGCTCCTAAGGTTTTTGAGACGAACAGATTACCTCTTTTTAATTATGGCGAAGCGGATATAGTCGACGGGAATGGAAACATTAAGGTTTGTTTGAGCGACGTTGTGAGCGTGGCATACGTAATTAACTCGCCGGTGAATCTAAGCCTGCGAGACGATGCAGGATTTTGATCACTGCTCAGCTTTTCTGGATGAACTTCAGGCATCGTGCTACTTCCCCATCGTCGCCGTTCGTCATTAGAGCAAAATTTGGAAAGTGTATACGATCATTAACATGACAATCACACAACCAAAAGCAGGGCGCACCCCAAACGCAGCAAACACCACTACGCAAAGTTCATTTTGTCGAGCACCCTATCAAACTTTCCAGAGCTTAAGTTCGATCGATGCGTGGGAGACCAGCGGCAGAGCAACTTTGTCACCCAGTATTGTAGTTCCCAGTCCGCCAAGCCATCCGGACATAAAGAACGACCTGTGCCTAAGAAATTGAGCGCAGAACACATTTTCGCAAGTCGCGGATGCATAAAATCATATGCTTTATCCGGAATGTATGTCTGAGCCATGATGTGGATGCTGAGAGATGTCTGGATAGTGGTCAAGAAGGAAGAAATCCATGTTATCATGCGTCGGGCGCGGGAGATTATATTGCGATGATGTTGCCGTCTGTTATTTGACCCTGGTTTCATAGTGAGCCAAGAGATTCATGTTAGGATGTCGTCGGGTGAGATACGTTCACGCTCGGCGGCAACCTGGCTGAAAACAGCACATGCATCATCCATCCATCCAGTGGGAGCACACACGACGGCGCCCGACCCTTTTCTTGACCTACGACACTTCTAAGCCAGTACGAACGCGCGGCAGGAGACCAGAGAGCAATAAGCATGGAGGGCTCGAGCGCTGAAGCCAACGGAAGGTCGCCGTCTTCCAGGTTCCCGGCATTGCCCTGGGGGGCAACCGCGCCTCCATTTCCCAAGGACGCGTACTCGCGGAAGAAGGCACTGGACGACATACCAGCGCTGAGCTATGCGCTGCATCTCTTCCTGGCATCGCACATGGTCGAGTCTGAGGATTATTGCCGAGAATACGATCCGAAGAGGTGAGCAGATCTGGCTCAGGACTTGGCGTGCTTCGTGAGCTGATCGCAGTTAGGGAACATCTCTACTTCGCAGCCGGATATGGGCTCATTCAGTGTTTCAAGGGCGTCATGTCCTTTGAGGATGAGGTATGTATGAGCGCAGTCTGCTGCTGCTGCTGTCTTACGGGTGGCTCTCAGGACCTCGTCGCCGCTCTCAGCCATGTAAAACATGGAAACAGCGTCGCAAGCCACCATCGGAAACGTGCAGCGCCATTACCTGCACGATTGGTGGGACTTGTCGTCCCGTCACTGAACACTTCGGGGGTTGGTTGGATCAAGAGCATGACGCCGATCGAGCGGCACGCCGAGCTGGTGTACGCGGAAAGCCTCTTCGAAAAGGTTCGCATAACGCGATATTGCATGCTGCTTACACCTCGTGCAACTTGACTGCAGGCCATCCTCGGCATCGCCTATTCGGGCGATTGGCTCGCATTCATCAAAGAAGCGTGAGTTCCCTGGTCCCGTGAGTATCATCCTACTCAGCTTTGTAGACTGAACATGCGTACAACGATCAACATCTACCGCCAATTAGGCAAGTTCCTCGAGGCCGTCGACGCCGAGGCGCAAGCGAGAGGGGAGGGGCCCGAGGACAAGTCGGTTGATGCGCACTTCCGGTCAGGGGTCTGCCTGGGCGTCGGGATGTCAAACGTCGTCTTGTCGCTGATGCCATCCAAGCTGCTCACGATAATCGAGCTTTTTGGATACAGTGGAGACAGACATGCGGGCCTGGCGTACTTAATGAAGCCTGGGGGATGGTCGGCGCACTCGGAAGAGCCTGCCGTCAGTCTTGGTATGGACGTGATCTCCTCCCTTCCTCTGATGCATACATTGAAGTGCGCGCTGTCAGAACAGGAGGGCCTTCGCCGCACAATGTGCGACATGGCGCTGATGCTCTTCCATCTCGTTCTGTCGAACTTCACGTTCGAGGGCATCGACATTGGCATGGCGCAGAAGATTTTGGATTACCATATCAAGCGGTATCCCAACGGTACGCTTCCTTCTTGTGCAATAGTTTGTAGATGGATGTACGACTCTCGTTAGGTGTCTTCTTCCTTTTCGGCGAAGGACGACTGTGCATGTGTCGCGGTCAACCGGCGCAAGCTATCGAGTACTACAAGAAGGCTATGAATGCCCAAAACCAGTACAGGAATATGCATCACATCTCCCTTTGGGAGATGGCCATCGCGAGTTTCGCGCTCTGGGATATTCCAGCATCTTTGCAGAGTTGGCAGGTTCTTGCAGATGAGGCAACAGTGCGTAAGCCGTCGCGACCGGACTCCACAACACTAATAGCATTGCTCTTACAGTGGTCAAAAGCCACATATAATTATGGTATTGCCGTGTGTTTACTGCAGATTGGTGGCGACGACGAACGTGAACGGGCAGCACAGTTGATGGCGAAGGTGCCAAATATGCGGCAACGAATCGCGGGAAAGTCAATACCTCTAGAGGTAGCCTCTCTACAGTTATATAGTTCAACGACAGTGCACTAAACGCTTCTACATACAGAAATTTGTCGCTAGAAAAGCGCGTAAATTCCAGGACCAGGGTGACCGTCTCGAATTGCCCGCGCTAGAGTTCGCATATTTCTTCATGGCCATCGCACGTTCGCCGCGCGAAGTCGTCGTCGAGAAGCTGTTGCCACCAGTGCAAGACCTCCTGCTCCAGCTGAAGATTCACAGCGAGAAGCCGTCCGAGTATGCGGGTGGGCATGGGTACTGGGATGATTATTGCCTGGCGCACTTTTTGCAAGGCATCTGCCTGCGGTATATTGCATACCCTGTGCGCTAACTCGTTGAGACCGGTTGCATTTTGCTCATAACTGTCGTGTAGGACGCGGACACGGTCATCGATCCTGGGGAGAAGCTTAGCATCTCGGAAACGGAGGCAGAACGGGGGGCGATGCTCGCCTTCGAGGCTGTCATCGCGGATGGAAGCAAGATCGTCCTGGATCACTACCTCATCTACCATGCGCGTAAGCTGTTTTTCTTCAATGGTGTTCTTGGGTAATAGTGCTCATGAACGTCAAAGATTACGAATATGGCCGGTTGTTGGCGTGTAAGGGGGACAAAGAGGGCGCACGGCGGCATCTAGAGCTTGTAATGTCTGGTAAGTGATATGGAGACTGGAAAGCCAGATAGATGCTCAGTCTCCCCAGGTAAACCGCTCGAAGGCCCAGGGGTCACTAGAAAGGTTCGTTCTTCCCTTTCAGCCTGTATGCTTGGCGCTGATCGGTGTTCAATGCATCGATGTCGATCAGGGCAAATACAGCATGGAGGTACGTGATAATTTGAGTAGCGCGATATCCAGTCTAGGCTAAGCGACCTCCGCAGAACGCCCTCCACGTCCGCACGCACGCCGCGCTCGAAGCATTGGACCACAAGACCCGTCTCTGACTAGATTTTTCATCTCACGCGTGCTCACGAACTTCACGATAGTATTGACACCAAGTAGAAAGGTATATAATGCGCAGAATCCACATCTTGTCTTGTTTGCATCCTTGGACCTTGCTTTTACTGAACGTCTCATCGCAACTGCTGCCCCTGGTATATTCAGACCCGATGTTGCTGCTTGTCGCATCGCTTACATGGACTCAAATGTTGAAGATTCTCATTCGGAATAGCGTCTTGACTTTGCGACGGTCATTTGTGCGGAGTATCATGGCAGAAGATGATGTGAACGTATCGCTTACAATCAAGCACGGTGAACGGCTGCGACAACGAACACTGATCAGGAGGCGTCTCAGTGTTTCGCTTTTTTCTGTGGCTTTCCCTCCCCTTCTTCCCGCTTTCTCTTCCCGTTATCCAGCGTATCATCAGCCAGCTCGCCGTTCCCCCTTCCCTCGTGCCTCTCCTTCGCAGCCTTCTCCCTCAAATGCTCCCATACGATCTTATCCGCATACGGCTCCTCGAACGTCTCTGCATCAGGAGGGTAGAACCAGTAATTAAATGCCATATGGACGTCCCCGCCCTCTCCTTCACCCTCCCCAGCGGAGAACGACGTCACTTCGTGCCACCAGGATGCCGGTAGGTACAGCATCTCGCCTGCCTTGAGCTCGACAATGTACGGCGGGGCAGCCTTCACGAGGTCGGGAAAGTCTGAAGGGGCGGTATCGCCGGGCGGGACGGCGGTCGTGGGCAGGTTGAGCTGACGATGGAGGTAGGCGGTTGGGATGCGCGAGAAGGACGCGGGCTCGTCGCTTGTTGTGTTGGCAGGTGCGCCATTTTGGGCGGTTTTGCTTCCCCCGACGGACGGTGAGGAAGGTTCTTCGTTGTCGCCGTTTTCGTCGAGGCCTGCTATGAGGGCGTCATAGTCGTCGTGGCCATCCTCCAAGTCTCCTGCTAGTGACCCCAAATCGTCATCATCCAAGACTTTTCCCTCCAAGTCGCTGCCGTCCTCTTCATCGTCTGATATACTTGAGAGAAACCCGTCCTCATCATCTTCGGTGTAAGATTTAAGTTCCTTCTGCGCCTTGTCCAATGCTTCCTGCAGTGCTTGTCGCTCCCTGGTGTCGGTCTTCGCTTTTCCCTTTCCTTTTCCTTTGGTCACCGGAAGGGCATCCAGTCGCTTCTGCAATGCCTCCACCTTCGCCTGGAGGGCGACGCGCTGGTCGAGTCCGTCCGCGCGGAGAATGGGGTCATAGGTTATAACCCCGTTGCCATAGAGCTTGTGTACAGTACCATTAGGATAGAGGTTCACATGCTCTTTTGGTGGGAAGAGCACGAAGCGTTTACGCCCCTTGAGTAGACAATACAGGTTGTCATGAAAGTCATGGTGCTATATGCAGAGTCAAACAGGGAGCATGAACGACGCAGGATTGCAAACACATACTAGGCCACTAGAGGAGCCCTCTTTTGACTTGCCTATCCAGAGATTTGCTTGCTGGAGGAACAAGTTACCCATGACGGGGGGGACATCCGGAAAGTCGCTCGATAGGGCATCGGTTGGCGGTGAGAGCACCGTTAACGAGTCCCATTCCTCCCCGGAGTACTGCGTCGTCAGGTAATGGTGCGGGCCGTCTTCCTGCTTCAGCGAGTCAAGGAAGTTTCTGAAGCGCATTGGGATGCGCTGGACGTCCGTGCCGAACTGGCGGATCGACGCATGCATGGGCTCGACGAGCACCTCGACGTCTCCGGCTTTGGACGCGAGATAGTTGAGGTCTGTCTGGCTTGAGCGATGGTGAAATCTCAGCTCTCGCGCTAGGACAGAGCAGGCCACGTACCCATTTTGTAGCCTGGAATGATGCGTCGTCTGGCAAGCCACTGAGGACGACAGGTCTGCGTCTCGAGATGTAGTCTTTGAAGAATGTTTCGGCTGCGATGCCAGGCGTGATGTGGTCCACAGTGGTCGCCATCATCAAGTAGATGCCAGTGCTATGAAGAGGTAGTCCTTGCTTGAACCCAACCTGAAGGAGTACCAGTCGAAGCTGCAGTGCTGAGCGGGAACGAGACGGATCAACCGGCCCGCCAATCTCGATCGTGGCGCAACGTTGCGGGCGCTCGTTTTTCCCAACTCATACAAACGCTGACGGTCGTTGACGACCGTGAGTGACATTCTGCAACAAAACAGCTCATTACACAAACACGATGTCGACAAACTGCCATGGTCATGGCGTGGCCAGCACCGCGGACTACCCGAAGATGAACTATGATCCTGGGGCGAAGTGGATCAAACATCTCACGCAGGGGCGGTTGTCCACCTTCAACGGTGGTCACTACTCGGACGTCAACCTGGGTTCTCTCCTGTTCATACATCGCCTGGACGATCCTGCATATGTTAAACTGCAAGTTTGGAGTGCGCCTGGGCTATCCAAGCCGACGTTCGAGGAGGCCATGAAGCAGAAGTTTAGGCCTGCCAAGAAGGGAGAGCAATTCGGACCTTCATGTGAGACACTCTCACTGTTGACTTGACTTGAGATTTTAGGTACTGACTCATCTACAGGGGTAAGTACTTTCTGTAGCAGTACGTGCCTGTCTGATATGCCACCAGACGAACCACTGGTGGAAAGTCTCCGTAACCATTCCAGCTTACTGGGAACAATACGAACGCGTGCAGTGTGCGTATCTTCTCTACTTGAATCGAATGGCTTCGTTTTCGAAACGTATCGTGAGGGCTTCTGCTGGTTCCGCGTGCTGAGTTGACAACACAGCGGTTTGCGAGAGCATGGCTCTTGCATGAATGGGGCGAAGCCCCTGATAAATGGGCCGCCTTATAAGATGCTCAAAGTTAAACAGGCTTCTATGGATGATGATACTAGAGTATATTGAATACACAATGCGGCTATTGATGCGCCGTCGTAAGAAGCTCGGTCTCTAGTGCGGCTGGCGATCCCGGGCGGGGAAAAGGCCTTCGTATCGCTCCCTTTTTCTCAGATCGCTCAGCTTAATAGGTTGTTCTGTCATCATTGTTGCTTTGGATAGTTCTGAATCGTTTCCAAAAACTCTAAATTGGCGAAGATTGTAGAACGCTTTATTGTACACCCGTGTTGATCGTGCTGACGCCCCTTGACAGTCGAATTTGATCCTGGATGTGAAGCCATGATATATACCACAGACGGCGTTCCCCTGCAAGGTATCACCGGCGGGTGGGACGGCAACCGTCGTGTGGAGTACATCCTTCCCGAGAGTGCTCGGAAGGCCGGTAAGCACGAGTTCGTCATAGAGTCGTCCTGCAATGGCATGTTCGGTATCCCCTGGAATGGAGACACAATCGAGCACCCTGATGTAAGACCCACTCTTGTTCCGTCCTTCCTGCATTCACATTGCCACAGATGAACCGATACTTCGGCCTCGCATCCGCAGACCTCGTCGTGCCGAACGAGGAGGCCTGGCGCCTACTCTATGACTTCACGACGCTGCGCGAGATCTCCGAGACCTTGCCGGGGAACACGTCCCTGCAGAACAAGGCGCTCGTCGCGGCGAACGAGATCATGAATGTATTCGACAAGAACGATATCAGCAGTGTGAAACGCGCACGCGAGATCGCTGCGCGGGTGTTCGGCGAGGCATGGGAGGAGAAAGGGGAGAAGATCTACGATGAGGGCCCGAGGGACGCGGTGATATGGGGTATTGGTCATTGCCACATTGATACGGCATGGTAGGTATTATGGTGTGGATGTTGTGGCAGGATGCTGATCTGTGAGACAGGCTATGGCCGTATCGAGTGACGCAGCAGAAAGTCGCACGGTCGTGGTCCACTCAGGTCGATCTTATGGACCGCTACCCGGAGCATCGCTTCACCTGCAGCCAAGCGCAGCAGTACAAGTGGCTCGAGCAGGTATGGCACATCCGCTTTTGGCAGCCGTTCCGTCCATTATTAAATATTCTATTGTAGCTGTACCCGCCGCTGTTTGAGCGCGTAAAGGAGAAGGTGCTCGCAGGCAAGTTCCACACGATTGGAGGCTCATGGGTGGAGAACGACTCGAACATGCCGTCGGGTGAGGCGCTCGCGCGGCAGTTCATCTTAGGCCAGCGGTACTTTGAGTCGCGCTTCGGAAAGCGGTGCGAGACGGCATGGCTGCCGGATTCGTTTGGCCTGACGGGCGCGCTGCCGCAGCTGATCCGGCTGGCGGACATGAAGTATTTCTTTACGCAGAAGTTGTCTTGGTATGTGTCTCGGTTGCCCAAATGAATGTGGAACGTTGCTGATTTACGTGCTACTAGGAATAACATGTGTGTATTACCACAATGCGGTGCAGGTGGAAGTGCTGATCGGTCGTGTCTTAGAAATACCTTCCCTCATTCTACGTTCAACTGGGTCGGTATCGACGGAACGCAAGTGCTTTGCCACATGACTCCAGTCGGTCAGCAGCATGGCGGTTCTTCGATCGTCAGGAAGCTAACAGCGCTGTAGACACGTACACAGCCCAGGCTACAGTCGGTGATGTGAACAAGGGTCTCACAAACCATAAGGTGCCTTTGTTCACTACGTTCCCGTGGGCTTTCTGCTCATTGTTTTGTAGAACCTGGAGTCGTCCGATATCTCCTTGCTTGTGTTCGGAAACGGTGACGGCGGAGGAGGTCCGCTTGCGAAGATGTTGGAGAATGTGAGCACGTCTTCGTGCATGGATGCTGCTGCTGGAAAACTAATCTGCTTGACCCGCAGCTCCGTCGCATACGTGCAACTGCTAACCAATCGCGCGAATTGCCTCCTGTGAACATGGGTCACTCCGTGGAAGAGTTCTTCGAAACCGTCATGACGAACTCGAATGCTGGCAAGAAGCTGCCCAACTGGTGAGGCCATCGCAGATTTCCATGTAGGCTCATCACTGATTGCTAGTCACTTTTTCAGGAACGGAGAATTGTACCTGGAGGTAGGAGTAAAGCTGTAATTATACATCTATCCATGCTTACGCCTCATCGAAGTTCCATCGGGGGACCTACACTTCACATGGTGCGTCAGATCACCGCGTGTCGCTAACGTCGCTGACGATCATCATAGGGTCTATTAAGAAGGGCAATAGGAAGTCGGAAATCCTGCTACGCGACATTGAGGTAGGAATATTGTTCACAATTCCTTGACGGATTGCTTATGATTAAATGTCGCCTTGCAGCTCCTGGCAACTTTGGCGTCTCTATACAGATACCACAAGAAGGACTACGTGTATCCCAACGAGAAGATCAACGATTGCTGGGAGAAGGTACTTTTGAATCAATGTGAGCAATGTCATGATATCTGTTGTAGGTGAAGCTGACAACGTCATATCAACAGTCCACGATGGTGAGTGGCAAGGGTGGAGTTTCTTTGCAGAAATCTCTGATGCGGGTCTATCATTCCAGTCCTTCCTGGATCCGCTATGTGGGTAACGTGAGTTTTCATGCGAGCTTCACTGACTCGCCTCCCAGTGGGATGGTCTACGATGATGCGGAGAAGCTATACGCGGAAGTTAGGAAAGACGGAGAGCAGCTGCTCGAAGATGCATTTAGCGCGCTGTTCCCGAAGTCGATCTCGTTGTCCAACGCAACAGGCGGCCTCGGCAAACTGGTCGCGTTCAACACCACATCCTTCCCAAGACGTGACGTTGTCAAGGTTCCTCTACGCGGTGGGGCTGCTCGCCTGAAGTCTCAGGTGGTGCAGGTGTCGAAAGACGGTACGGAGGGCTTCGCGCTCATGGATTGCGCTGAGGGGGGCAATTTGGCTCTCCCGAACGGGCTGTTTGCCGATAGCATGCCGGTATCTGGTACGTTTGTGGATGTAATCCTGTTCTGCTCGATCTCTGACTGTAGTATGTTACCTCAGTGTTCACGAAGGGATCGGATCATTTCGTGCTCAGAAATCAGAGTGTTCAGCTCACGATCTCTGACGGCAGGATCACTAGCCTGTTGGACGTCGAACTGGGGTGCGTTTTTTGTGTTTCGATTTTCATGTCTGGCCTGATTGATATCGGGTGTATATCAGCCGGGAGATGATCCCCGCCGGGCAGACTAGCGGTCTGGTCATCTTTGATGATCGCCCGAACTATTGGGATGCATGGGGTATGACAATCCCTGTTTTGTAGAAAACATATCGTGATGGCTCATCTTTGTTAACGCAGATGTCGACGTCCATCACTTGGAGACGCCTCATCCTCTCGAGTTCACGGACATTACGGTCGTGGCGGAAGGACCCCTTCGTGCCTCCGTCAAGTCAGTGGTGAAGTATCGTCAAAGCACCATCACTGTAACGGTCAGCCCAACGATATTTTTTCTCACGAGGGTTTGGAACTGACCATTTGTCGAGTAGATATCTTTGGATGCAATCACTGGTGAAGGGCGATCTCGCTGAAATCTATGGTTTTGCTGATGATGGACTAGCCACGCTAAAGAAGGATTCTCGCTCGATGTTTGTCTTCGATGCGGTAGTCGACTGGCATGAGAGGCATGAGTTCCTGAAGTGTACGTTTCTGCTTATTGCGCTCGCCTCATGAGCCCTGAAACTGACATTCACCAGTCGAGATTCCCCTGAACATTCACAATGATTACGCGACTTATGAGACACAGTTTGGCTTTGTTCAGAGGCCGACGCATAAGAACACCACCTGGGATATGGCGAAATTCGAGGTCTGCGGTCACAAGGTATGTCGGGATCTATCTAGTCCGTACAGTACCTGACGCCTCCTGCCTAAGTATGCGGATTTGAGCGAGTTTGGGTATGGCGTTGCGATCCTCTCGGAGTCCAAGTATGGCTTCTCGTGCCGTGGCAACGTGTTGCGCATCTCTCTCCTGCGTGCTGCCACCGCGCCTGATGAGAATCAGGACCAGGGTGAGCACGCTCTGCATGTGCTCTCATCGACAGTACTGACCGGACTCAGGCACACACGAATTCTCCTGGGCTCTCATGCCTCACAAGGGGCACTTTTTGGAATCGGATGTCCCGATGGCTGCTTATATTTTCAACTCTCCTCTCCATGGTGCGTGAAGTGATAGACGGCGCTCGTCGTATGTACTGAGCATCCATATAGTACGCTATGTGACCGATGAGGTGACTTCCGCCCCATTGTTCAAGACAAAGGTCCCCTTCGTAATCGACGGCGCACCGAATGTCTTCCTCGAGACCGTCAAGCGTGGATTGGATGACGACTTCTCAGTATCCAGCTCTGATTCGCCCGTCACGGTTGTGCTTAGGCTGTACGAAGCCTATGGCGGGCATGCGCAAGCTACACTGAAGATTGCAGAGCACATTCCAGTCATGAAGATTATCACGACCAATCTACTGGAAGATGAGACTTCGAAACTTGCCGTCCTCACTGAAGATGCCTGCTCCTTAGTCAAGCTCAATTTCCACGGCTTCGAGGTAAAGACGGTCAAGATCTACTTGGGAAAAGCAAAGGCGCCCGGAGAGTAAGTTAGTTGAGTCCGTCCTTGCATGCCTAATGACAGTCTTACTTGTCGCAGTATAAGTGAGAAAAGGAGGAGCTGGGTCACCATCGACAAGCCTTGAACGCCACACCGGGGTGCTTGGATCGTTGACCGATATAACTCATGGATTTTGTATGTTGTATGATGCACGTCGATGTGTGTGCTTGCGTTCTGTGCTCTTCATTGTACAATGGTTATGGACAATGTGACTCTGGAATCGTTTACAGTTCGGCCGTGAGACTTGTACATTGCGTCCTCCATCATTGTCGCCGATATTAGTGGGCGAGTACTGTGATCTACTGTGATCGTGTTTCGCGCGCACGGACTCTCAGCGGCACTCAATGGAGATGCTCGTTAAACGGTTGTATTGATGAATTAGCATCAACAAGCAGCTCACATAGCGCGAAGCACCAGATTTGTAGTTAAGTGCTAAGTCTTAGTCATAGCACTAAACAGTAGGATTGTTCTTGGCACAAACTTGCAGCAAGACAAGTTCATTTCAGTAGATCCTCTGCTAAATACAGGCTGTCATATTTCTCTATCGCGATGCTCACCCCGCGAGGATCCTCTTTCTTATGCGGCATTTTCCTTGTCTAGCTACTATTTTTATAATCCTCTGTAGTGCATTCAGACTCCAAGGATGCCTCGGAATTGCCCTTGCCGGTTGGTTCTTGGCCTTGATTTGCATCCTTTATGCTCCAATCAGCATCTTAATCGTGTTTCAGCGGAAGAAGTACCAATGGGAGAAAGAAGCTATCATCCTTTGTGCTGCTCATCCCCCTGCAGTGGAACATCACATATCAAGGCAGTTCAAGCATACGAGATTCTTTGATAGACATCTGACATACATCGTACAGACACCGTGACTGATCATTCCCGCAATGAACTTTGCAGCTGAAGCTCGGATCGCTCCTCCTCTGACATGTCAGGCTGCATCTTCGTCATTACGTACACAACGTGGATATTTCGAATCCGATGGTATTATGGTAAGGATGGTAAGCGCCCATCAAGCGCGATCAATTGCACTTAGTCAGCATTGCCTGTGGCCTGCGGCCACACTTTGCAGTATCGGGTTTGATCCGGACTTCATTTGCCTTTCACCCTGCACGCACCTGCCGTCTGCTACAAAAAGGCAAAAACGAATGATGAAGCGGTCGCAAGAGCTCTCTTCTCCTGCTTCCAGTCCTGGACAAGCCTCCCCTGTTCCCGCTCACAAGAGATTTAAATCTGCCACTCGTACACAGGACGCCATGATGGTCACGCCTCTTGCGAACGACGACGATGACGGTGGTGGTTGGACAGTCGTTGGAAAGCGAAAGACGTCTGCTCGTGCTATACATGCCACACATAGTGTCAAGGTTGCCGCACGCGACGACGCGGACAGCGACAATTCCTGGACAAGAGTTGAGAAGCGCAAAGCGAAGAAGATGAAGAAAGTGGAGGCAAAGAATGATGTGCGTGTTTCTTTTGTATTTATGGGTGCTGTGCTAAGGCAGAGATGCAGGCGAATCCGCCAAGATTCATGTATGTAAAGTCCGAGATTATCAGGCGCAGAGCTGCAGTAGGCATCAGCGTGAGTGTTATTCGAATCGTTCGCTCCTTCCACATTTTGCATTGCGCCCTCCTACGCCCATCGAGCTTTCATCACGCGTTTCGCGTTACCTGTGGACTGTTGTCAAGGTACTGTTGCGGAAACGCCAGTGGCGACCCTGGAGTCGGGTATGATTTTGCAGATCTATCCCCAATGCCACATGGATCGCTTACTGTCCTTCAAGGCAGATAGTAACTCTGGCGTTTCAGTACTCCTCGCTTTCAAAAACTGCCATAGCTTTGTCCAGCGCTAGAGCGTTGCATGGGAGGTTACAGGCGTGCTGTTGATCTCAGAACGCCTGTCGGACTTCCCTACTACACAGTCACGGGCCAAGTAACGATTGAAAGTTTGGTCATGCAATGCATGAAGGCTGCCGTCTATGAATCCTGGGGATTTCGGAACATGGGATGACTGGCAATCATTCGAATGCAGCCCTTTTACGATTATTAATCATCAGCGGCTGTGGAATTGTTGCGATGCTTCACTGCATATCCTGCTCTGATGGAACTGACTGCCTCGTTTTTGAGATAAGCCAGCTTTCCTAGACCGTGGCTTATTTTTATGAACTTTGTAGGATATTCGTGACCTCGTGTTGCATTTATCGGCTTATTCGCCCCCTCCAGGTTGGTTGAGAGTAGAAGTGCGTACCTGGGCTCACATTCCCTTATTTGCCTGCCAACATTGTATGATCCCAGAACGCAGGCTCTGTAAACAAGGTCGTCGCTCTTCTGGTCCCTGGGCTGACTCCCGACATCCTTTCTCTACCGCCATTGCCGACATCCGCCACAATCAACCCCAATGTGCCCTTTCAGATACCTCTCCCTTCAGACGCCCTCCCAGAAGGTTCATCCCATCGCCTTCCCTTTATCAGTCAGACGTTCAGCCACGCATGCCCCACTCGCGCGCCAGGCGACCAGAACAGAATGCATTCGGTCCTTGACGCCTTCTTCCAGGGGCCCATCACGGGCGAGGAGAAGAAGAGGCGGATCATGGAACGCGTGAATTGTATGTCCGTCCATATGTGAGGAGCCGTCTAAATGCTGAGACGGTAACTGCAGCAGAGTGCGCATGGGAGAAGACTCCGATGCGATATCTACTCACAACAGAGCAGATGATCGAGAACGATTACCCGATACCGTCGTATGTCGCCGACGTGTTTGAGAAGTCGCTAGGCTGGGTAGAGACCGCTGCACCTGCGGAAGACTCGATATCACACTCGAAGGGAAAGGCTCCGAGGATGTTCGCAATGGATTGCGAAATGGTGAGACATAGCTCACTTTCTGTTCACTATACTGACCCTCTTTTAGTGTGTTACAGAGGATGGCAAGGAGCTTACTCGCGTATGCATGGTCGATTATACATCCGGCATCGTTGTGTACGATCAGCTAGTCAAGCCACAGAAACCGATTGTAGACTACCTCACTCGGTAAGTTATGTCATATTCTCTGCCACGTGGCTCGTCCATAACCCCGTACATTCAGCTGGTCAGGTATCACGGCCGAGGCCCTTGACCCGGTAACCACGACATTCGAGGAGGTGCAAACACACATTCTCTCCATCCTCTCCGCCACCCCTACTCCAATCCTCCTTGGGCACTCTCTCGAGTCCGACTTGAAAGCACTGAAGATCTGCCACCCACGATGCATCGATACTGCCGTCATATACCACCATCCACGCGGACGGCCGCTGAAGCCCGGATTGGCGTGGCTCACGAGGAAATGGTGCGGGCGGGAGATTCAGAACCGGGGAGAGAATGGACACGACCCCGAGGAGGACGCGCGGGCTTGTGCGGACCTGCTGAAGAAGAAGATTGAGAATGGTGAGTAGAGCACGATGTTTGACTGGTGCTAGTGCTGACTCTGCTCAGGGCCAGGCTTTGGCGAATTCAAGATCGACACGGAGTCCATCTTTGAGCGCATCACTCGGTCGAGAGGGGACAACGTGGCCACTGCCGTGGTGGACCACGGAAATCCGACTGCATTTCACGGGGGAAAGGCGACGACCACCATCGGCTGCAAAACGGATTCTGAGGTGCTCGAGGGCCTGCTTGGGGTAATACCCTCACATCACTTTGCGTTCGGCCGGTTCACCGGCCTCGCCAATGCTCTTGGATGTGAGTAAAACAGCAGCTCCACAGACTACAAATGGTTGTGCTCACTGATCTCTCACAGGGATCTCACCCAAGGCAAGCATCGACTTCACGTCTCAGACGTCTCCTCCTGAATCGCCCTCCGCCGATATCCGTGAGGTCCTCGCCACGCTCGACAACCACCTCAGGACAGTGCATGCAGCGCTTCCATCGAGGACTGCACTCATCATCTTCACGGGCCATTCGGATCCACGACGCATGGTTGAGTTGAATGCGCGCAAGGCAGCCTTCGAGAGCGCGCTTAAGCAGGGGAAGAATCCCGAGGATTTGGACAAGGAGATGCGCTGGACGAGCGCGGACGCGAGGGCTCTGGAGGAGGAGGCTGAGAAGGCGAAGCGGGGTCTATTATTTTTAGGGGTCAAGGATACCTCATAGTTTCATTTGTCAGTTTTCGTGTGTCAGTTTTGGGCGCGTTGTTTCTGTCATTGCATCTTGAGCTTGCAGTACCATGCCGTGAGTCCTAACGCTGTGCCGTTAGCGCCTAATACAGTCAGGCATCGATACTGGTTGGGTGCTCGTGCAAAAACTGTTGCGCTTTGGGAGGTCGTGCCATTCAACAGATTCCTGCAACATTCAAAAGAAATACTCAAACTCCATGCGCAAAAATGACCGACGTAGGGGTCGAACCTACAATCTCCGCCTAAGGGGAAGGTTCAATCCCTGCAACGCAGGGATTGAGCCTTTCCCGTGGCGGCGGCTGTGGCGTGGGGGTGGCGGTGGCATCACGTGGCGTGGGTGCGGCAGCGCCCACCCGCCACTTGTGTGGCCTGCACATGATACACCTTTCCCGGCGGCGGCGGCTGTGGGTGCGGCAGCGCCCACGCACATGGGGCTTAGCTGGATGGCAGCGGGCGTGGGTGCGGCAGCGCCCACCCGCCACTTGTGTGGTCCATGTCAGAACCTTTCCCGGCGGCGGCCGTGGGTGCAGCAGCGCCCACCCACCACAGCACATGCACTGACGTTCTAGTACGATTTACGCGTAACGCCTATGCGTACACTAGTCCTTTTATGACTTTGCTGCTGTTCATCGCTTGGACCGGGCGCTCCTCGCCAAGTTACCGAATGCGGCAGCGCCCACTTTTGTGGCCTGCACGTGATACGTGTCAACGCGTCTGTCCTCCTGCACGGGTGACGTCGCCCACTTCACCGCTATACCTTCAAATGCGTCCCTGCCCCATCTCTTCCTGTAACCATCACCATGCCTCGCAAGGCCTCCACATCCTCCAACTCTGCCCCGCCAGCAAAGCGTGCCCGCACCACGAGTGGTGACGATGGTGCCGTCCTTAGCAAGAAGGAAATGCTGTACCACGCTTCCTGCCTTCTTCTGCCTTATGCATGTGCTGACCCCAAACAGGCAGAAAATCCCCAAGCCGACCATGCAGGCTTTCCTCACCCATCTTCCGTCTCTGCTGGAAATGTCCAAGCAGCTCTGTGATGCCCAGCGCGCTGCATCCGAGGCACAGGCTGAGCTTCTTCGACTTCAGCTTCAGGCCAGCACCGGCCCAGCCATGGACACTCCCCTCACTGCTAGTCATGCATTCGGAGATGCATTTCAGCAAGATTCTCTCATGCTTGACCAATCTGCCAACGCATACAGTCACCTCCCATCGCATGCCGGTATCCTCCCAGATGCATCCAATGGGCTCCCCTTATATGCGCCTCATGTGAACGCTGATGTCATCGTCCCTCCCCTTGGCTTTCAGTCTGCGATCAGTGTCAACAACAATCTGAAGGCGACTGGCAGCAGTGATTGCAATCTAGAGACGACACTGGACAACAATCTGGAGGCGACTGGCAGCAGTGATAACAATCTAGAGACGACACTGGACAACAATCTGGAGGCGACGGGCCTTGTATCAGCATCTGGAATCGCATATGCAGACATGCTTGACGGGACCACATTCGCACGAGCAGATCATTATGGTGTGGGAGGTTTAGAGTAGGCGCAGACGTCTTACTGGGCTTGAGTGTAGATGAAAAGTGTCATTAGAGCATAACCCTTTTGTTAATCACATTTTTTCATGGGCTGCACTGTCATTTCGCTGAGTCTTGGATTAGCGAAAATGTGCATCCACATCGGGTGACGTCACTGGCCACATGTCTTGACCTTTCACCACTGCCATGTCGCTTCACGCCATTCTGCAGCATCTCGAAGCAATAGAGCCTCTCCTGCACAACGTCAGGCCATCCGCTGATGAGCACGAGTTGGCAGCGCGCGTGTGCGAGAAGTTTGACAATGTTCTTCATATCGTCGACACAGTGCTGCGCACGTGTGAAGAGCGCGCGGACCATGAGCGCACAAGCGTCATGTCGGAGGAACATACACCCCACATCGAGCACAAGGTGAGGATTCCATGTGCTGCAAAGACAATCATAATAAAGTGTGTGCAGCTTGCAGACAAGAATGCCCAGGTTGCAAGCAGAGGCGAGACCATCCTCAACAATCTCTATATAGAGGCGCTCTCCCCGCAACAACTCATCTCTTCCATCTTTGTCGCTCCTACCGAATCACGCATGGTCCTTGAAGATGCCGCCCTTGGACGGCTCATGTGTGGTTGTGATAAGGCAAACCCGGACGAGTGGGTACGTTTTATGCGATGATATGATACAACGGACATGCTCATCTGTTCCTACTTCAGCTCGAGCTGCTTTGGCCATACTCCATCAGTTCACCACACCTTACCGACTTTTGCGAAGCATCTCGAGACTATGATGACATGCGCAATGACATGCAGCGTCTGCAGCGTCGTCATACAGTGCGTCGGTGCCGTGATTGTGATTGTTCTTCACACTGACTCGCTCATCTTTTAGGCCATTGCAGCATTGCAGATCGGCACCACCATTGAAGACTATGTTATCAGTGTCCTTGTCAAAGTTGAGATGATAAAGTTTGCCATAGACTGGAATCTGCGCACGTCACAGCCTGGAGGAAAGCTATGGGTAGGCCAATTCTTCACGGCCGCTTTTCAAGCAGACCCCCTTTATAATGAACATTTTGCCGCACTCTCTGAGATGGAAGCCGCAGCGAAAATGAAGACCTTGGATCGTCAGTACAAACAGTGGAAGCAAACAAATGCGCATATAGTCACCGCCCGCAATCGTCTTCTTAAAATGTACGACACGGTAAGTCACATTCTCTGTCTTCTACGTCAACCCTGTTGATTTGTTGCAGTTTGGTGCTTCTGTCCTTCTCGACCCACTTTGGAACCCAGCCACTCTCGTTCGTGGACGCACAAAGCTATTTCCGCTGGTCCTCAATTATGTCACCGAGCATCTTCCCACTATCCCAGATCCTGATGCCATTGATGGCGATGACGAGGGCAACATTCCTAAAGTCTCGATTCTTGCTCCCCTGGAACATGGCTATGTAGACGCTCTGCTCAATATACTGTCAATACTGAGCCAACAGACTGTGCATGACCACGTTTCGCACTTTTTGCATGACCGACCTCCAATGTTCCTCACTTGACCCATCATGTTCAAACCCGCAATTGTACATAGCCGTGCCGCACATAAACCATATGACTTTCTCTTCAAATGCGTCGTTCGTCGAGTGAGCCCACACCTCGTGTTTGTTCCTCATGTTTATCTGCACACTTGGACAGATATGGCACTTCACGTCAACCATGTGCGCCTCTGCAAGCGCTGATTTTATTTTTACATTGGGCGCCTTTAAGGCAGCTTGACTCTCGTTCTCTTCCCTCCTTCCTCACTGTCTCTCAGCATGCATAGAGTGCCCTCTCAGAGAGAAATCGAACGGCTCGCTGTTCTTCAGGATCCCACTCACTTTAATGCTGCATCAGGTCACCGTCATCGTGACAAGTACTCTGCTACACGGCCTGAGCTTAACGCCGTCGAGGCCCCAGCTCAAGATCCTCCTCCTGCTCTGGACAATGATGATCCTCCTCTCGCTGCTCCTCGTTGGGTTGCAGGCCGAGTCGCTCCTCCTGCATATCCAGATGGTCGTCACTCACATCTTCGAAACACCATTCAGACCTATGAAAACAATCCTGAGCTTGCCGATGACATGCTCAAGATGCTGAATGACTTTGTCAGCAATATCACCAAGTATGAAAACCCCAACACCCGAGCCGCTCGTGAAAGGACTCTGAGTGTCTGGGCCCTCATTGTTGGCTTTCTTTCCAAGAATAACGACCCTGAGCGCCTTTGGCACTACACGGTTGTCGAACAACACGCCCCAGCTTTTCTGACCTTTCGAGTATGTTTTCATCGCATGGATTGCCCAGTTCTCTATAACCTCATTCAATTTAGGTGCTTTACACATGTGGTCGACAAGGAAAGCTAATCAAGGCTGACACGCTGCGCACTTGGTTCAATCTCCTTTCCTATTGTATTGCAAAATACACCGTCGACGATGATCGAAAGCCACACGGTACAACAACTCTCGTTAAGAACGGTCTTTACGCCAAACTTGATGCTGTCGTAACAAAACGTAAGTTATTTCTTCTCTAAACCGTCACAATCTTTCTCATTCCTTCTTATGTAGTTATACTCGACCACAAGCTTGACAGGTTTCCTGGCGAGCGTGTCCACTTTGGACGTCCTGAGCTTCGTCTAGTTACAGAGTATGCCATGATGAATGTCCGTGTCCGTTTCGTGCGAATTCAGTCTACCGTCATCTTTCAAACTTCCTTTTATACAACGGTTCGTCCAAGCACTCTCGGTGTTGGTAATAAGGAGATGGAAGACATGGAAAGAGTAGGTCATCTTTGTGTACGTTTGCACGTTCTGAGCTCACTCTTGTTGTCAGTTCATGAAGATCGAGTACAGCAATTTGCGAATATTTCGCCAGGGTTATGGCAAGTTCAGCGTCAAGATGCGCTTTACAAATCACAAGGTACATTACGTGCTTCGCAGCATCACCCTCAATGCTAATGTGCCTTTTTCTAGGGTTCCAATGCAGACGTTGGCAAGGAGCTCGAATATTTCTTCCAGCCTGTCATGAACTGGTTCAACGTCTGTTTCGACTTGCCAACCTGGCTCGTCACCATGCTCTTCCTACGAGGTGCATTCAAATATGACGTATGCACATTTTCTATCAAAAATTGATCAGCTAACACATTTCGCTCAACAGACATTGGAAGAGCTGCACGAAGGAAACGAGGCAGAGCTTCAATTCTGTGACAAGGTGATCGGCCAGCCACTGTGAGTATCAGCGCTTGCCCATCTTCACGTCTTTTCTCATACAATCTGTCGTCAAGATTTATCCGATTTGAAGCTGGAGGCAGAATCGCAAGCGGTGCTCTTCGACCAATCACTGCACATGCAATCTCAGCAGCACTTGCAGATCTCTGCCAAGGTGCTGGCCTTCCTCGCGCTGGATTGTATGCCTTTCGTCGCGATGCTGGCAATGACGTGAGCTGCCTTTGTCGAACCTTTCATCCATTCATGACCAATTTATACATTGTACAGTACGGCATGAAGCTGAACACTGAAATGGCGTCTATGATGCTTGGCCACAAGGACAGCAACAATGCCATATATCGCAAGCACTATTCCAGAAATACAGCCAATATTCCAATTGTCCATCTTCGACTGAACGAGTTTATCACAGACAAGCAAACTATGGCGATGGTGAGCAGCGACTTTGTCAATATTCAAATGTCATGGACTGATTCTGGCTCAGGCCAGTCACGCAATGCATCAGTTTCACTCGCCAGCTGTAATGTGTCTTGTAGCTCGAAAGGCACTCGATGAAAATGTCACCGACGATGGAGAAGCAGACGCAGGTGTAAAGCCTTCAGCTCTGGACAAACAGTCTCTCACTGAGGAGGAAAAGGCGACAGCTGAGGTATGCTATTTATATATATGCTGCGCTCTCTAATGAGAATCATTTTACAGGCACATCCTCATGTCGTGCAAGCAAAACATGACTTTGATCTTGCCTGGCAAGGTTTGCTTGCTTTGTACCCACCTGAGGCTCAGTCATACAAAGATCACCTGGTCGTCCATCGTGAACGCTTCAAGAAGATCAAACAGCACTTTTCACTTGTGAACGGCAAGACGGAGGCCGATTTAGAATATGTGTGTTTTTCTTCAACTTAAAATTTCATTTTCCTCGACTTATGCGTAACAGGCCGAGTCCTGCTTTAGCCAAACTCTCAAGAGATATCAACTACTGGCGAAGAAACATCGACGAGCATTTGCTGATGCTAGAAATAAGACGAAGAATTTGCAGACCACCCTTCGCCAGTCAGGAAAGGACACCGCAGATGCCCGATATGAAGCCATTGCTGATCTAGAAAAACCTTCGTCAATGATTGATGATCTTCAGCAGTTTGCTCAGCAGAATGACGAAGGTCAGTGACAATCGCTACATTGACATTTTTGCTCTGACGAGCGATTGGGCATGTAGCTGCATACTCATCCAATGTCATCACTGCTGATGCAAGTGCATCTTCATCTCGCATCGCTATGGCCAGTGAACGTGCATTTGTCTCCACTGTGCCGCTTGCCATACCTTCTTCAGCCTCCCAAGTATCGCCCTTCTCTGACAACGTGACATCCAATTTCCCTCATGATTTGAGCAATGAAGACGACGTGGAAGAGCTTACCCATCACGTCAACGAACAACTTGATCTTGGCAAGTTGTTGCATTTTCCGATGAATGCGGGCACATCCGAGTCCATTGCGACCAGACAAGCATATCAGAAACAGACAGTAGACCTGCACTTTGAGTCCTTGGAGCAAGCGCTACCACAAGACAAGGCGTTCGACGCAGACGAAAATCCCCAGCCAACAGCTGATACCCAGGACATCAATGTGGATGAACTGCGCATTCAGCTCTCTGTCTTTCTTGCTGCCCCAGTGCTCCGAGAACGAAGCATTGTGGAATGCTGGAAGGTAACTTTGACATCATGTTTCCATGCCATGATTGACTCACATGTATGCCAGCGGGACAAAACGTGCATTCAATGCAAACCCTTCATTCACGACCCAGCTCGTGTCAATCGTCAATTCTCAAATATATCCAAACTCAATCGTCATATGTAAGGGTTAGCCACGCTTACCATGCAGGGTGAACACTCATTTCTTGTCACAGCAATGAGGCACATACGCTCTGGTATGATCTTGATTTACACATGCAGATTCCTAACAGCAAAAGGCTCAAATGCCCGTCGAAAAATTGCCACTACAAGTCGGTGCTTCTCATACAAGATGTCTATAATACTGACACTCTCCATCTGTCACCAGAGCATCCACAGTGAATGACGTTCGCAAGCATTGCCTGTCGACAGCTTGTCCAGATCAGGATTACTTCACAGAACTCAAAGAAAAGCATGACATGACCCCCTCACGAATTCAACGACGAACAGTTTCACGTAATTACAGAGCTGCACACAAGAGCAAAAAGCGCACAACTGGTACGTGACATCACATGAACGCTGTCGTTGCTGTTGTGACCATTTTACAGACTCTGATTCTGAGAACGATACGAATCAAAACTACATACCTGTACGTAAAAGCAAAAAGCGCGCCACTGGTACGTGACATCACATGAAGGCTGTCGTTGAACGAAGATGAACCGAAAAATGACCCGGTAGATACCGTTGCACCTCCACTCGAGCTGGCAAGTCCATCAATTCTGGCACAAACCTTGTCTGCTGCGGCAGAGACAACCGTTCCAGAGGATCTTGTCAATGTTTATCATGTCCTTGCAATGTGTGATCCTCAAACGCTACTTGATCATGCTCGGAGCGTGAGCATGCTCCCTTAACTTTATGCACTGTCTCATCTGACATTCCATTCGTCCATGCAGAACGGCCATCTTCTTGATACTGATGAAGACGAGCTTCTTGTTCAGTTGGAAATGCTTATCACCAACATTCGAGCACTCATTCGTGCTGGACACATCGCTCCTTTACCTCAGCCAGATACCTCCTCTTGACGTTCATACATACATGTATGCGCTCTTGCTCAAATGTAAATCTATTGCGCTCAGGGAGCGCAGCCGAGCTCAGTCGATAAAGTGAAAGATGACAGCGACAACAAACAAAATAAAATGCATAATTTCCGTACACTCCAACACGTCAACGCCGCCATGACCGTCGAACGACTCGCGGTTCGCCACGTCGTACACCTCAACCCCTGCGCGCCTCGATAATACGACGACATGATCCTCCGGAACCGCTCCTGGCCCGTAGTGTCTTCACGTTCACCGTCGCGCTCCTGTTCTTATCCTGCGACATCGTAATTTTTCGTCTTTAGATTGTACCAAAAGGAACTGAAGCACGAGGACGGTCACGGGTAAGCGCTAACAATACCCAATCTGTGGTCCGCTTGTTTCAGACTCGAGCACATGCACCGTGGAGCGCTCTCCGCCTTCGAAAACGTTGCAAGTGCGCAGGAGTAGCTCGCAGCGGCGAGGTTGCAACACACGCTGCGGTCTCCGAACGGGGCGACACGCTCGAATGTTGAGCGGTGAGCGCTGACGCATGCAGCGCAGGCAGGCTAATCAAGCACACGGGATGATGAGTTGCGCGACGTTAGAAAGAAATGCTTACCAGGGCTTCCTCTCCGTCGTGTCAAGTCACGGATCAGGGTGCGTGAACGTTCTGCAGCGGCGAGAGCCTCAAGACGCGGCGTGGTCTCCGAATGAGGCGACACGCTTGAAGGCTGAACGGTGAGCGTTGATGCGCGCAGCGTGGGGTTAGTTAGAATTCAGCGGTGATGTCTGGGACAAGATCCTGCGGCCATACACTATGAGAGAAAATGGGACTCCTCAAGCTTCAAGCTCAATCAAGGCACGCTCTCTTTGATCGTTTCCCGCCTAGCACCATCGAATGCACGGCCCTTCACCTACCCGTCTCATCGCAAATGAATGCGCTCTCTCGCCCACTCACGTGCGTCTTCTCGGGAACGTTGCGCGATGACTGGGGGCCCTTTGGTGAGGTCTTCTACTGATCTTGTACGAACGTCACTCACCCGCCCGTTGCATGTGAATGCAAAGACAGTGAATATCTCGATGTGTGTACCGAGTACAGATGATGTCCCAGAGCCGGCTTGCTTCTCAGGAATAGTTCCGCAGACCCTCGCGTCCTACATTCATCCACGAGGATAGAGGGGGTACCACTGTGTCTGTGGTAACTTCGGCTGCAGAGACGGAAGCCAAAACGTCCATTACCCTCGACATGCAGGTCTCTCCAGACGGGATAAATTTCTCGCAAGGTCAGAGGCAGCTGATTGCGACGGCATGAGCGCTCCTTCGACGAAGCTCGATTATCGTTCTCGATGAGCGACAAGCAGCATCAATTTAGCCATTGACGCTAACGTTCAAGTGATAATCCGTGGAGTTCAAAGAACCACTCATGTTATCCAGAATGTCATCATCAATCGTGTGTTATGGCTACATCTAATATTCTCCTAGTGGCGCATTATCTGCGCACGCTCATTTCGTCAACTTCTGCTTCTGGCTCAGAACAAGCAGTCGACGAAATCACCGTGCGTTTCTCAGCAAGAACGAGCGCGTGGAGTTCGATGCGCCATACATCTTGATCCGGAAAGAGAAGGGCATCCTCAGGAACATATGTATGAAGAGCAGGACGTTCACGGAGCTGCTAGCCGCTAGAAGAGCGAAGGCTGAGGTTTTCGGCGGTAAGATAAGACTTGCGGAGGGTCAGTAGATCATGAGAGCTGAAATACATCTTCCCGGTATTGGGGAGTACTCATAGAACCTCACCAAGATCATTTCCATCTGGAACATGGTTTGTCATGTCTTTCTTCGTATCCATTTCATGGACAAGACTTTATGAGAGTAGGACCTATGTAATGCTAATACGGTCTGGATGATCGTAGAGTTACTGGACTAAGCACGGCACAGTACCATGCGCAACTGATCCCGTTCATCACAAATGAGCGATACACTGTACGACACGCATTCAAATACCTTTCCAGTCTCCCTTGACTCATCCTATCGCGTCGCATCATATATGTGTTGTGAAATACACCTCGTTCGCCTCGTATCACAAGGACCATCCGTGTCCACTCAGTTCGTAACGCCTTGACGAGCGTAAGCCCTCGGTGATGAATGTCTGTAGGCCCGGGTTCAGCGGCGCGCTGCTTCCGCTCGCGCGGAAGACGACTTGCATCGCGGTAAGTGCGGTTGAGCTTCGTGCGCTGGTCACTCGTCAGGCTCATCCACCGCCACGCAGCTTCTGCACGAGCATGGGGAGCGAGCCCGTCCCGAAAAAGCCAAGTTTGATCTCCAGGAACGACCAGACGAAGCTGGGCGAGGATGCTGAAAGTGGATACCGCGCACGCATCGAGCAGGTCTGCAAGCACCGCGGCGTCCAGTGTAGGAAGACTGGCCACGGGCACCCACTCAAAGTAAAGTTTGGATGCGTCGAGGTCTCCAAGTGCGGTGCCCAGGCTCGCGGCGAGGATCTGCCCATTCGCGGCCTCGGCAAGGATAGTCGGACGGGAGGCGGAGGGGGGCGTCAGGCCCAGGGGGAGCACACTCGAGTCGCAGGAGGCGGCCAACTCGTAGTCGACTCATGAGGATTGGGACCGGACTGGGACCACAAGGGCCGGAGAACCTGCGACCACGTAAATGAGCAGAATTCCGTAAAGTACCTACATGGCACTCGTACCTTCGGTCTTTGCAAGCGCGTATCCAAGCAGCTGGTGGCAGGGTGACCAGACTGCAAGGGCAGGATCGGTGCTAGCTGTAGTGGGTACATAAGCGAAGACGGCAGCGGTCAACGCGTCCGCTGCTGAAGTGACGATCTGACTGTTAAATACAGTCCAAGTTGTACTTGCGTTGAGCAGGGTGAGCTCGGCATATGTGTAGGTGGGCGCAAACGGGTTGAGAGCGGGACCGTCGTAGTTGATTGTGAGAGCGATGTGCTCAGGCGGCAGAGGCTTGAAAGGTGCTGTAGAGCGAGTGGGCGGAAAGGCTGCCGCTGGCGGAGAGGGGGAGCACGACGCGCCAACCGACGGTACAGATCTTGACGGAGTCTGGGAGGGGATCCTTGCCGAAGAGAGCGTTGATCGGCGTGATCGAGAAGGAGTTATTGTTGGGATTGCTGGTGGCGGCGTCGATGTAAAGCTGGCGCACCTTGAAGGCGACGTCCATGTTCCCGTAGAATGCGCCGACGATGTCTAGATTGTAGACTTGAGACATGTTGGGAGAGTTGTGCGTAGAGTAGCGTGTTCAACTTGTACGGCTGAGCCACCTCAGCAACTTGGCTTGTCATGTGGAATCTGCTCTGAGAAGAAAAGTTTCGGCGAAGCGGGATGTGCATGACGGGAGAACATGTCAAAGGCGAAATGGAGGAAAATCTGAAGCTGGAACAACCTGTTAATAGAAGGGTTGGCTCTTGCAAGGGGGGACGCGTTCTCGATGTCAATGTTGGCTATATCAGGTCTAACTCGAGCCGAAAAGCTCATCTGATGTCGCCGTCAATTACATTGGATCAGTGTCTGCAGATCGCTGCTTGTGCTTACCTGCAATCAGCCATCGACATGCTACCGATTCAATTGGGGACCCTATTCAGGCCCAAGTAGGTTATTCATCTGCCGGGTTGCTATCCAGTAGTGATGTGATCAACGCGACGTGTTACGTAAATCGCTATAAAGTCTCCGACGATGACGGCCTATGCGAGACAGCATACGCGACAAGCACCACGGCTGGCGCTCTGTGCTTCGCTGCAATGATATGCATGGAAGAAAACATGTCGATGCTCGTCCACGCTGCGATGGAAGACAGACCTTCTCAGTCTGCTGTCCTGCGGCTGTGCCGATTTCCTCATATCGGAAGCAGACGTCCCTCACATGGCCACCACTGATGGTGCGGGTCTCCACAGCTGGATGCACACTGTCCGTTGTGGTCAGCGCCGTGTGTGAGCTTGCGACGATCAGCGCCACTGTGCGCACCCGATACAAAGCGTACGGCCAGCAGCTGGGAAGGCACCGAAATGCTTAAATACTCAAGTTCAAGAGTCACATTTGCGCCTCTGCTACCATAATGTCTCTTGCGCTGCTCAAGATCCCCATGCTGTTCATCGCCGCCGCCGCAATCCATGTCTCCAGCGCTGCACCCAATCCCTCTCCATTGCGTCAGCAACAAAACAGGCTTAGGACTGTGGCCGCTCCATCGACCGCCATACGCGCCAGTGTTGCCGTCCCAACACTTATTCAGGTGGGTTTATGCATGACACTATCCTGCCGCACGAAAGAATAATTTTGAGCCCGACAGTTTACCGTCTGGATGCTGGCAATATGCGAAAGCGCGACCATCCTCGCGAGTCGCTACCCATGCGTGTTTTCCCGTCGCGTTCTCACCCTCTTGACGTTCGGAGCCCGCGCATCTCCAGCTGCCATCAGCCTCACGTCCCCATTCCTCATCGGATTCATGCTCGAAATCGCCGGCAGCGTGATTCGCGTAGGCTGCTTCTGGCACCTCGGCCAACTCTTTCCCTTCCAGACAGCCATTCGCAAGGAGCACGCCCTGATCACCGACGGTCCGTACGCGATCGTGCGTCACCCCGGCTACGCCGGCAGTCTCCTCCGAACAGCGGGCATCCTCCTCTGTCACCTCGGGCGCGGCTCCTGGCTGTCCGAGAGCAGAGCCAGGTACACGCCGCAGGGACGCATATGCGTCCTGGCGGGCATCGTGTACATGGCAGCGTTGCTGGCGACCGTCGCCGTCCACTCCAGGCTGGAGGACCGCGAGCTGAAGAAAAAGTTTGGCAAGGAGTGGAAAGAGTGGGCAGCGAGAACGCCCAGCAAGCTCTTCCCTGGCCTGTACTAAGTCATTCTTTCCGGATGAAGATGTTGTATGAAACCAGCAGCCACGCCTCGATTGTGTGCACCAAATACTACTTGTCGAGTCCATCTGCTTGATAGCAGCACCGATCTTCCCAATCATGCCCTGTGATGCACCACATAGGATTAGCAGCTGCACGGCTATAATGGACGAGATAACGCAGGACAAATGTAGCGTTTGCGTACATTGGGGCACGCTTCTCTGATGGAAGACCCATCCCTTCTTGTAGCAGCTACGCGTAGCACTAGAATCAACAAATGAGGCGCCACACTTGTAGATGAGACACTGGTCGGATAAGCTGCTACTCCAACTTCAGTGCGGTGCCCCGCCAGTGCCCGTGGGGCTGAGAGTCTGGCCACCGCAGGTCTAAAGTCGATCGACAGTGCGTGCGGAAATACACGAACCATCCACATGATACTTTCCTGATGCCGCAATTGAGCCATGAACAGACCAAAGAGCAACGAACTAGCGTGATCATTTATCTCACCTCAGCACGCGTCTTCCTCCTCTCCCCCCTCCTCGAAGTCAGATCCCTCGTCCCTCTCCTCCAACGCAGCCTCTTTTTCTGCCTGCGCCTGCGCCGCAAGGGCAGCCTGGGCGATGGCCTGCTCAAGCTGTCTCGTCTGCTCCTCCGACAACGGGAGCGAAGACAAAGATGACTGCGGTGCGTCTGATGTCGATTGACCCTGGTCAACAGGATTCATAGTGCTCGTGCTAGGTGCTGTGCTAGGACCGACAGCAATGGGGGGACTGGACTGGAATTGAAACTGTTGACTCTGCGCAATGACGCTCGCTAACGTCGTCTGATTCGAGTGAGAGACCGGCGGAGGTAGCTGTCGACCAGGAACAGGCGGGGGATGTCCAAGGCCCCTCGCGACATAAACTTTCAGCAAGCCATGCAGCTGCAACACAATCGTCTGCGCCTCCGCCACGACACCCGGATCCACCTCTCCCTCCTCCGGCGGGCCAGCATCCCTATCCGCCGGCGACGCAGCCGCATGCAGCGCGCCAGCAAGCTGAGTCGCAACGATCTCATTCCAAAGCTTCGTCCGCCTACTCGCCTCCTCATCCCCTACGGCCTTCTCCACCTCCACCTCCTCAATCTCCGCATACGCACACGTACTCTCCCCAATCCCGGGCTCGACCCCGCCGTCCCGACCGCCTGCGCGCCCGCGGCTGTCCTTGTGCCGCTTGATCGCGTCGCGCCGCGAAAACACCTTTCCGCACCCGCTACACCGCCATGCCCGGCGCTCGTGCAGCTTCTCGTGCCGCTTCAAATCGTGGTTCCGCACGAACGACGCGGGGCAGTGCGCGCACCGGAATGGCCGGTCGACGAGCGTGTGTAGCCGTTGGTGGGCGCGTAGCGAGTAGAGCCGGTGGAAGATTTTGGTGCAGGTCGGCATCAGGCAGGGGTAGACGGCTGCGCCGAGGTCGGAGGAGGGAGGCGCTGCGGGAGCGTTGTATGGGTTGGACCATGTAGTACTTGGGGCGGGGGCGGGCGACGCGCCATGAGAACCGATCGGTGTACTGCTCAGGACGCCGATCATTTGGATGAGTCCTGCGAGCTCTTGGAGGGCTGCGGTTCGTTGTCCTCCTCGCGGGGAGGATGTCACGGCAAAGAGGAACACTTGATGCAATTGTACGTGTATTGAGGATATGAGAGCTCCGTTCAACGCATGGTGGCCTGGCGCGGACGAGTCGGGTGCGAGGACACGCATGATGGTACGCACGGCCTCTGAGATGAGGTGTCTCAGGTCGGGCTGGTCAAAGGCGACGCGTTTGGGCGCAGGGCTCTCCGCGACTTCGTGGCTCCCTTCTCTCTTGCGCTTTCCCTTGTCGAGCTGAATGACAGGCGCATCCGAGTTGCGCAGAGAAGCGAAAAGGGCTTCGGACTTGGCCAGAGAGAGCAGTGCTTCGCCTAGAGATCGAGCGACCTTGGGAGACACGGTTCCTGCAGAGATACATTGCGAAAAGACGTCCACGATGTTTGCGTTGTTTGAGCCCGAGACGTTGTAGCCAGATAGTGTTGCGTGTATGAAAGGGTTCCCTGATGCGAGTGAGAGGATGCCTTTCATCGTCACGATCGCAGCATCATGCCTTCGTCGTTTCGCAGCTGCAGCGCCATCGGTCGAAGTCGCAGGAACGCCCTTCCGCTCCAAAAATGCGCTGCTTTGTTCTAATGGGACGGTATTATGCGCTGGTAGAGGCACGGCTTGAGCCGCTGCAGCGGCAGCTTCGAGCTGCGCCCTGGCGATGTCCGCTCGGAGTTGTTCTTGCAGTCGAAAAGCCATCGCTTCTGCTTCAGCGTCGATATCTTCTGCATCGTAGTCATCGTAGCCCTCTTCGTATTGTCCGTCATAGTCCTCGTCATAGCCTTCCTCAGCCATGGCCGTGGGCAGCTCGGTAGAATCTGCAAGGTCTGCCATGTCGGAGATGCTAGTTACCGGAAGCAATTCAAGTGACGAGGAAGGAAAGTTTTAGAGCTAGTCAGTGTTAGTGAGACTTGAGAGGCGGTAGATGAGTGGGTTGAGTTGTGGCCTCGATCAAGGTTCTACGCCACATGTTCATATAATCTCTCCGAAACACAGTAACGTTTCATTTTTGCGCTATCTATCTCGCCAACGTTGCATTGAACCCATTCGAATCTCTCACTTTGCGGCCGATAGCACCGGACATAAAGCTCATGTCAAGTTCCATTCTGATTCACGCCAAGTTGTCTTCGTGAGAGGCTCGGTTTCTTCTTGCGTGTCCTGCTCTCCGTATCTCATGTTCATGAGAATGTATCTATCTATTGAGGTAAAGCATGCCTCTGTCATGATTCTATTGGGTGTGGACTATAACGACCGTCCGTCTTCGCATGAAAGGATATATAGCGCATTTAGCCATGAACGTTTGAACACCTTCCCTCTCGCGCACATAACACTCTTCACTGTCCTAGGCCCAGGATCCACCAATGGTGCTCAAACTCTACGGCTTCTCCCCCTCGCACTGCACGCGACGCGTCGGCGTCGTCCTCAAGGAGCTCAACGTGCCCTACGAGCTCGTCACCATTGACATGCTCAAGGACGAGCACAAGGCCGCGCCGTCTCTCGCCCACCAACCATTTGGCCAGGTGCCCTACATCGACGACGACGGCTTCCAACTCTTCGAGAGCCGCGCGATCGCGCGCTACCTCGTGGCAAAGTACTCGGGCCAGGGACCGCGGCTCGTGCCTGACCCGTCGGATGTGGAGAGGACGGCGCTGTTCGAGCAGGCGGCGAGCATTGAGCTGAGCAACTTTGATCCGTATATGAATGCGCTTGCGTGGGAGGTCATGTTCAAGAAGTCTGTCGTTTGTCTTGTGCTCCAAGGTAACCGCTTACCGGAAACGTCTTCGCAGATATTCGGGTGGAACGGCGGACGAGGTCATCGTTGCGGACCTCGTGAAAACTCTCAACAGCAAGCTTGACGCGTACGAGGTCCTCCTTAGCAAATCCAAGTATCTTGCCGGCGATGTAGGGACAAGAAGTCATCATGCGTGACAATATCTGACGATCCGTGATTCAGGAGGTGACACTCGCAGACCTGTTCCACCTGCCGTTTGGAACTTCACTGGGACTGATGGGATACGACCTGCTCACTACAGAGTCTCGGCCAAACGTGGCTAGGTGAGTGAGGAACGAATAGAAGCCTCGGCCATAGCTCACGAACTCCTGGAACGCACAGGTGGTGGAAAGATATCAGCTCGCGTCCTGCCTGGCTGGCGGCGAAGGACGGTGCTTGACGGTGGAGACTTGACATCGTGCGCGAAGCAAAGTAAGAGTGTATGATAACGACAGAAGGCTCATGTTAGCGTTCACGAATAAGCACTTGCGAGATAGTAATTCTGGCGTGAGATGCGGCTCCAAACAGCCATTTCCCTTATATGAGTTATGTATCTCCGAAAGCACCATGAGTATTCCGCAGAGCCACCAGGAGAGGCTGCAAGAGAAAAATGGCTTTAACGTGCATGGGAGTGAGTCGGAAAGAGGATACGGAAACTGCCGAGCCTGCGCGCCCGCATTCATGGCGGCACGCGAATGACCATCCGTGCACTCATGTTCAGGGTACTAGCTGTACGTCTCCTGCTCCTCCCAAAAACCATCTCATAACACTGATGAGACGCGCAGCCTCGCAAGGCGGCTTTCGTAGCCGTCGCCGCTCTCGCGGCCGAGACGTCGAGGGAGAAGGTGCGAGTACAGTCACTCTTTTCAGCACGCTGCTGACCGTACGTTCTGCGCATTGCGCGTAGTTGCCCATGTATCCATCTCCTGACGCACCCGTCCTCCTTCTCGAGGCGCCGTCAGAGCTTGAAAAGCAAATCGGTGTCGCGCGCAGGGCCGTCACCGCAAGCTATCTCGATGCTCGTGCACAAGTGCAAGGCGTCATCTCTCGGTGGATCGACGTCGAACAGGCCGTAGAGCGTGAGTACTTCAAGCACGCACACCACCTCTCCTCACGCTTTTGATTAATTACGCTCTTCACACATATAGACCGCGTCAAGTCCCTCATTGCGCCTGACGAACCGCTTACGCCCGGCGTGCTGTACGTCGGCGTAGCCACGCTCACCGGTTCCGTCCTCGCGCGCAACCGCATGATCCTCACACGGCTCCTCCTCCCGCCGACACTTCTCCTCCTCTCCTTCCGCCACTTCCTCCCCAAGACCGCGCACAACGTCTCGGATTACTGCGGATCGCTCGAGGACACGTACTTCCCCCGCCTCGCGCAGGCACACGAGACCGCGAAGGCGCACTCTGCGATGACGTGGGAGCGCATCAAGGATGTAAGCGTTGCAGGCCGCGAGGCGACCGTCTCCGGCGTGGAAACCATGCTCGTCCGCATCGAAGAGGCGACAGGATTAAAGCTGAAGGAGGCACTGGGCTATGGTCAGGGCGTAGTGCGGGCCGTGGAGAATCAGACGAAAGCTGCGGCAAAGATCGTGCAGCAGAAGACCGAGGCGGCGACGGATGTCATCGTGAAGAAAACGGAGGCTGCAAAGGAGGCTATAGAGCACAAAGCGGAGGCGGCGAAGGAGGTTGCAGAGCACAAAGCGGAAAACAACTCTGTTGTCTCAGAGCCAAAAGTAGAAGAGCCACCTACGCGGCTAGTATGATACTACACCTCGACAATATATAGATTACCCTCGTCCGCTCCCTGTTTCCCTCAGACGGATTCATTCCTTTGGTTTCTTCTCGCCGTTCTCCTCTTCCTTCGCCACCTTGCCCTCATTCAAGAACTCCATGTCCATGTCGAAACCGCCGAGGCCGTCAAAGCGACGGTTGAACCTTCCGAGACGGCCAGTGACCTCGTCCTCGTCCTCGCTCTCCGCTACCCACTTGCTCGCGTTCCAGAGCGGATTGTTCGTCGTGTCGCGCGTGAGGAGCACCTCGGAGCGCGGCGAGGTCGTGTATTGTGTGAACGTCGAGCCATCCGCGCGGGTCACGCGCTGAGGGAACTGCGGCACGAATGGCGGGGGCAGCTTCCGCTGGCGATGTTTCCAGACGTGTGTGCGCCCGTACGGCGAGGATGAGACGCTGCGCGTGGTCGTGCGCGACAGATTACGTGGAAGCAAGTTGCGCGTTGTCGGGCGCGAGGAGCTCGCCAGGATGGACGCGAAATTCATGGCGATGATATGGTCTCCTCACGACTTGGAAGCTGGCCAGACGGGGGCGCGAGCTCAAAGTGGCTTTCGATGAGAGAGTAAGAATTTTCCAAGAAAGGAAGGTATACCATCCAGCGTGAGAATCCTGCTCGGCGTTAGGGCCACAACCTCAAGTCACTCGGTTCTGTCGATGTACGATACCGGAGCATTCACAATATCAATGATCGAGCAGAGATGTTTCTCTCCGAGGTGATTGTGAATAAAGAGGTGGTAGATAGAGTACAGGTACAAGAGCATCATACAACAAGGCTAACGCAGTAGTAGTTAGTACTTACTAGTCAACAACATGGCATCAGACTCGTTCATCTCATAACGTCATGAGCTAACATTTCGTCTACAACGTCCACCCTTCGCCAGGATCCTCACACACTGGAACGCGCTCGATCCCAAATTCGACTTGCGGGATATACGCATGCTCAGCGGGGAAGTTCTCGCGACGCGGGGCGGGCATCGCCACTAGATATGTTAACTCGATGGCCCGAGGCTGCGACTCCAGATCGTCGAACGACGGCGGGGACGGGCGGCGCCGTGGAGGAGGGCTCGAGTTTGACCGTGTGCGGGGTGAGAGCGCTCGTGATGGGGATACTCTGGATAACAGACGGCGGTGCCAGGGAGTTGGGGAGCGAGTCACAGGATATGGTGAGGGAGTTGTCATTGCTGTGTTAGGTGCAACGACTAGTCTGGCCGCAACCGGCTGCGTTTGCTGAGTATCCAGCTAAACATTGAAGCCCCTTTGCACTAGACTGGACTCACCAATGTCCTCGCCCACCACTTCTGAACTTTTCCACTCCCCTCACCTCCCCTTACATACCGCGTCTTCTCATGACTGTCATAATCCACGCATACATGCGCATCGTGCAAAACTGGCCTCGTGAGCGTCCAACGCCTGCGGCCAGGAGCAGACGACGGCATGGAGAATGAGCCGTTTTGCATAGCTTCCTCGAACAGGCGTCGCTGCCGCCGGCGCAGAATATACGAGCGCACGACGATCGCAGCGGATACGGAGAGCAGAAGGACAAGGGTTGCTGCAGAGGTAGATTTGTCAGTAGTCATGTTTTACCACGTAATTTGTCCTCGACAAAGCGGGTGGCGCATTCGAGAACGCCCTCGCAGTGCAGCTCTCCGCACAGAGCAATATATCCTCACCAAGGAACGTATACACTGCCATCCAAATATCGCAGTTATGAGCGCAGCAGAAATGGCGCACATCGCTGAATGCACGCACAGTATAGTGACGCCGAACTTGTCAAACCCGCACCCTGATGGGCACTTCCGCTGCTCACTGTCGACGACGGCGCGGCGGAGCTCGAGGTCGTATATTCAACTGGTGGAACAATCATAGCCATGGGCCGAACCTCCTATGTAATTGCCTACACCCAGAGCCGAGACCGACGGTCGAGAGATGGGCCACCCGCGGGCGAAGACTGCAAACGCAGTGGCAAAGAGCTATTGCAGCTGGAGGTCATGCAGAGAGGAACCATGGGACGGCTGGACGGCATGAGTAAGGGGTGAACGTGCTCTCAACGCATAGCGAACAGAATGTGCGAACCGGGCTGCGATGTATCGGCTATTGGTGCGTGGCGGAATTCACTCAAGAGCGGGCGCTTTCATGCCGTCCAGACTACTCCACCTTGTAGTAATAGAATCCAGTAATTCCACAGATATATAGACAACATCAGCAACATACAGCGACCAGGTCACGGACATGAAAAGTAGACGATGAATGTCCCAGCAATGACACGCCGGAAAGGCTACAATGATTCCGGCAGCGCAACCCACGAGAGGTATTTTGGTACGTGTGCACAATCCCATGCTATACTCGTTGCAGCCTTACTGTTGAAGACTCTCAGCCTTCGTTCTTGCAGCAGTCTCTAGCTCCGTAAACGTCCCGCTCTTCAGGCACATGCTCCTGAAGATACCGTTCTCCTTCTGGATCAAGTTATATGGCGTATCGAACTCCATGAGTTCGCCCTTGTCCAGAACGAGGAGACGGTCGTAGTCAATGACAGTGCGCAAACGATGCGCCACTGGGCGGAGATCAGATGTAGCCATGACACGAGAACGATAGCAACGTACCCGTCAACAGCAGCGAGTCGTTGAACTCCTCGCGAATCGTAGCTTGGATCTTAGCATCAGTGGCGAAGTCGATACTGCTGGTCGCCTCATCGAGGACAATGATCGAGCTCCGGCGGAGAAGCGCTCGTGCCATCGCGATCAGCTGCCTCTGTCCTTGTGAGAAGTTCGTCCCACCCGGAGAGACCTGCATGTCGAGGGTGATGCTCGGTTTCGCTTCCGTCTCTGTCGCTGTCGTCGCCACGGATGCAATGGTGCCCTCTCTGCCCTCGTGGATAGAGGCAGGACGCGAAGGTTCGCGAGAGGATTTCTGAGAGGCCAGTTGGCTGTCGGACATCATCTGCACTCGGTATAAAACGTCCAGACATTCGCTGTCTTCGTGTTCACCTGCAGCAGGCAGTTGAGCGACGATTGAACAAGACCAATACAAGCACTCACCGAAGGGATCCAGGTTGTCGCGCAACGTTCCCGAGAAAAGAGTTGCATCCTGTACTCTTTATATTAGCTATGCTTATTCCTATCTGCGATCAGATTTACCTGAGGAATGAACGTCTACAAAGAGATGCAAACACATTAGCCGTGTCCATACTGCCGGCATGGGACAGACTCACAAGTCGTGATCGGAGATCATGTAGCCCGATAGTCGAGATGTCGATGCCGTCAATGACGATGCGGCCACTCGTCGGATCAACCTAGAAAGCATGACGGGTGAGATATAGACAGTTAAACAGATCATCGTAACGTACGAAGCGCAAGATGCTCATCGCAAGCGTCGACTTCCCGCTCCCCGTCCGACCCAACAGCCCAACGCGCTCCTTAGCCTTCAGCTGGAAGGACACGTTGTGGAGCACCGCAGGGAGTTCAGGTGCATATCTGATCTCAAGATCCTCGACAGAGATCATGGAGTCCTTGTTTGGCCCCTCGGACGAAGGCCAATATGCCGGTGGTCGGCGGTTCTCGATGATCGCCGGAGGCTCTTGAGGGAGGTCGAGATACTCCACGACACGTTCCACGGAACTACATAACATTCGTAAGCTCGTGGCTCGCGGAGTTTCGCATAGATTCGATTGACGTACTTGAGATCGAGTTCCAGCGCAGTCCAAAATCGACACGCCCAGTAGACACTGTTGGTGAACGCCATAGCAGACGTGATACAAATACCGGCAGTACCAGCTCGGACGTATCCCGAGAGGGCAAACAGCGTCGTCACAAGCACGCCCGTCGCACCGAGTGTGTCAAAGTAGAGCAACAGCCACCTATTTGTCATCCAGAACGTGTACCACATCTGATGACCACTCAGCACACCACGCCAAACTTTAGTCGAATGAAACCGCCTCACCTGCGTCGTGAGGTCTACCTTCTTGTACAAGTCATCGAGGAAGCGCTGTTCGGAGCCGAACGCACGGACTGTGACTATGCCCTCCAGAAGCTCGCCAAAGTTTGCAAATATAGGACTTCGAGAGTTGGACTCCATTCTACGGATATCACGGCCTGTGTTGAGGTAGCCGACGGCAGCACGACGGTAGAAGTACCCGAGTATCGAGGCAGGAAAGATGAATAAGGGGAAGACAACGCTGAATGAAAGCTCGAATTAACTTCGCGGCCATCACACTGAGAAAAACATGACAGCATACACGACGGTAATGACCGATGCAAGGAAGTTGGCCAGTGATGTGTTCACAGCTTGGAGAGAGCCTGCCAATGACGAATCCACGGTCTCAATGTCCTGCACTGCGATTAGCAACCGTCACAACGAGTCGCCCGAGCGGAATTACCTTGCTGAAGCGATTAAGCATACGGCCTGTCAGGCTCACCAGTCAGCACGATAGAGTCCATCTAATCGCGTGCAACGTACCTTGAGGAGTAACGTCATGCCAGCGCATGGTAGCTCTGACTACGCTCACAAGCAATTGCTGGAACAAAAGTCGCGATGCTCTCAGGGCTCCCGTATACTGCGTAATGACGCCAGAGATGTTGACTGCTCCGGCAGACAGAGCGATCGCAGCATAGATGCCGATGTAGAACAAAGGATGATCCTGTGCAGGAGGCCAATGAATGTCGGGTCGGGAGTATGTAATCGGCGTGTGCGCCGTGTGCGAGAAGCGGAGGTTTGCGAGGTGATCGTCCATGACGAGCTCGTGTTCGGGTGAGACGAATGAAGTGAACGTATACATAGAGTAGGTGGAATTGTTTGGGCCGTATGCTTCACCCCAAATCTAAGTAATGAGACAGATTCAGAACTGAATTCGTCAAATGTGGGTGTGTACACGCACCTTGATCCACACTTTCTCCGTCACACCGAGGATCTACAAAACGTGTAAGCAACGTCTCGTTTCTCAATGTGGGCATACGCACCTGGGTCAGGAGGATAAGAAAACAGAGAATAGTCCAGGTCCAATAGGACCTAAGAGACGTATTGTCACAAACCACGACCGAACTCACCGATAGTGAGGTACGTACGAAGCCTTCAAATATGTCTTGTAGATATCCCACTTGACACTCCCCGTTTCCCTCTTCTCATCTTCAATCAGCTTCCTCGGCTTCTTGCTTTTATCAACAGCTTTGCCGCCGTTCTCGCCCTCCAATTCGGCGTCAATCTCAGCATTTGGCGAAGCCTCCTCAGCTTCCGCTATCTGCTCCTCCCTGTGCGCCTCGACTTCCTCTTCGTGAGCGATGTCCTCTAGTATGCCGCGAGCACGGAGCTCCTTCACCATTCCCTGTGTATCGACACGGCCATCGAGCATGCGCACGAGGTAATACGCACCCGGGAGCACTAGCTCGACGTGGTGCGTTACCAAGATCTGCCCGGGGTGAGTAGGCATTGAAGTTGCACCTTTTATACAGACAACGTACCACCGTGCGATGAGCAAGGAGAGGTCCTTGGAACAGCCGCTCAAACAGGAAGCGAGCCGTATGACTATCCTGTTAATCAACGAGACGTCGATACGGTAAGTATTGCGTGAGGCTGCTCGGATACTCACCACCGCGCTTAAAGGATCATCAAGCAGTACATATTTGGTAGGCTGTCGTGAAGTGAGCATCTTACACTTTCAACTCGAGAAGATAACGAACCGCATAGACCGCACGCGCGAGGGCAACTCTGCAAGTCACTGCAATCAATAAGGCACCCAACCATAATGACGTGGAAAGACGTACCGGGCCTTCTGCCCTCCCGACAAACTTACTCCTCTACAACATCTTGAGCGCTGGCTACGCATCCTACTTGCCACTGCACTCACCTTGCTCCGATCTCCGTAGCATCTCCATCCTCCAACATCTCCAAATCCGGCTTCAACGCGCAGCATTCCACCACTGCGTTATATCTCTCCTCATCGTACGGGTACCCGAATAAAATATTATCCCTGATCGACTGATGCCGAAGCCACGGTGTCTGCGCGGCGTACGAGATTGTGTGAGCGAGCCCGTAGCGGTCGACCAGCGACGGATTCTTCGACATCACGATCCGCCCCTCCAGACGCGTCATCTCGCCGAGAAGTGCCATCTATCAATCCGAATCATCAACCACCACATATCAATAAACCGTGTACTGCAATCCCTCACCAGAAGAGCAGTCTTCCCGCTCGCAGTCGGCCCGGTGACAACCGTCAACTCGCCCTCGGGAAATATCACATTAATATCTCTCAGCTCAAACCGGTGGTCTCCATTTGCGCCTATACCTAAAACCGACTGGCTATCCACCGCCGTAGCTGTCTCATCCGATGAGCTGCGTGAGCGATCCACTCCCTTCTGCTTGTCCAGAGGCTCCTCGACCTCGTTCCACTTGAACGTCCCGTTGACAATCCCGAGGCCTTCTTCCACACCGATGGAGGGCTGCATGGGCCCGCGCTTGAGGGTAGACACCTGTCCATCGACCTCGTCTTCGTCGAGGTAAGTCGCGATTCGGTTCATCGCCACGCCGGCCTGAGGTGCCAGTGAGCAATCACAGCATACGAACTTATGATCCAATGCACCTGCAAAATTTGCACGATCCATGCCGGGATAACGTTCAACGGACCTCTAAATGCAAAAATAAATTAAGCACCGAGCAGCTGTTAAATTGTTGTTACTCACCTGATCATATTGAACAGCGCAATAGCCTACCAGCCTCCCATCAGCATAGATCCTACCCATACATCCTACAATGGATTACGCACCGTGAACGCGGTCCCAACCGTCAACACATTCCCCTGGATCACATACACAAAGAAAGACGTCACAGACACCAGAATCGGCGCGCATACCCATATGAGCGAGAAACATACGGCATTCACGCGAGCTACACATAAGTTTCAGCCAGGCTCTTGTCCGATAAGAGTGTCTGACAGCAGACATACACTTGATCATCCATTTCATCTCGACCTCACGCGCGTCCATGACGCGCTTGATCCATCGATCCTCCCATGCGAAGAACTTGATGAACTTCATCTGCACATCGCGTGAGTTCAGTGACCTTGTGTACAGACTCAAGGTAGGCCCGTGATCACTCACTGCGCCAATCAACTCGTTCAGCACGCCCATGCGCTTATCTCGCGCGTTCGACAGTCCCTTATGAATGCGCACCGCTCGCCGAGAGACATAGTTGTTAAGCGGCCAGCCGATGACGAGGACGATGAACCCGACGAATGCAGACCAGCCCAGCAGCCTGCAAGCTTCGCGTTAGAGTGCACGACCGGACAGCCATGACAGTCCACTCACTGGTAAAGGAATGTCGCAGCAATCGCAATCTCAAATGGCGCTGCGGATGAACATAAGTACAATTCGACTGAGGGCATATTAACCCACCTCCGTAAATCATCTGCGACCCGGCAACCACGTTCGAGATCTGCACTAAGCATAAGCATACGTCCACTTCCACCGATGCGCTTCCGGAAGCACCTTATTCGCATCGCCTGCCATCAGATTCACGATCTTGCCAATGTCTGCGCCCGCCTTAGGATCGTCTGCTTTTGCATCCGCCTTCGCACTGCTCTTACCTATCAATCGAAAAAATATCTCAGCCGCTCGTCAACGTAAGAAATACACACAAGTAACATACCAGCAGCATCGGGCGCCTTAGCTGCCTTGCTTGCGTCCTTGTCAACAATGCCCGAGAAGTCCTTGCGCTTCAACGCCTTGTCGTAGATAGCGGCCATGAGCTCTGATCGAATGCGCGTCGCCGCGCGCCGACCGAACCACAAGTGCTGCACATCTGCTTGGGCCTATTCAAACGCATCTCAGCACGCGCTTCTTCGGCACACCATGCGCCACTCACCTTGCACAGCGTCGACAAGAACGCTAACATCGCATATATGTACGCCAATGCCCTTTTCTCGTGAGAATGCTCATCCCGCACATCGAGCGAGTCGAGGATACGCTTGAGAAAGAATGGCCCCGCGTAGTTGAACACGATGCTGACGTATGTGAGAACAAAGTCGAGAATGAGATCGAGCGCGTTGGCCGCCCACAGCCGCCGGAGAAGGGTGCTGCGAAGCGTGCGGGTGAATTTGATGTAAAGTGGGCGGGACTGCATCGTCGGGCTCAGTGCCCAGATATCCGATTCGTTGAGAGTATTGTAGGTGCCCTGGTGAGCAGATAAGAGAAGAGGTAAGAGGATTGGTGTAGAGATGACCTACGCGCTCGACAAGAGGCAGCACCCAGCGAAAGGACATCCAGCCCCAAAGGGAGGTATAGTCCTCGGGCGAGACAGTGCGTCCCTGGACAGAGTCAGAAGAGTACATGTAATGCAGAGTGTTACTCACGATATCCTCTTCCTTGATGTAGCTGCTCGGAATGTCAAGAGGCATGTTCAGGATGACAAGTAGTAACAGCGAGATCGCCACCAGATTGCCTATATACCCTGCCATGGTAACCGACGAAGGGGGAGGCATGCCGAGGACACTATGGTCGAACAGCGCGCCGCCGAATGTGAGCGTAGCAAACACAAGATGCAAAGTAAATAGGACAAGCAAGTCTGCAGGCGGAGTGGCGGTGGGAAAGAGCATCGGACGGACAGTCGCATATAGCCACGTAGCGGCAACGAGAAACGAGAAAATGGCATTCGAGAGCCGATCAGGCAGGAGAATCGTAAAGCATGCGACACTGAGCCATCCGAGAGTCTCGAACAGTGCGATCGAGGACAGTAGGAGAGTACGCCAGAGCGGGGCGGGCGGCGCACTCTTCGCGGGTAGGCTCTCGCCGAAGTCGTCACGCGAGACATCAAGGGCCTCCGCCTCAGGAAGGGTTAGGAAGTTGCGGAACGGCCACGACACACGATAGACCGTGGCGCGCAGAGGGCGGGGGATGGGAACGGAGGTAACGAGGACGAGCGCGACAAAGGTTGCGGGAACGACGGCGCTCCAGAAGTCGCGTACACAAGGACTGGAGAGAGACAGCACGCTGTCGCCGTCGCAGAGGGCGCGGTGCATAGTCGCAGCAGACACGGGGGACGACACGAAAGATGAGGAGGACACGTCGCGGTGCGTGTGAGAGACACGCGCGGTTGTGACTGAACTTAGAGTTGGACGCGCGCCCTGCCGGCGCTTGCTATAGCGTGTCGGTTTACTCACTGCGTCTCGCCCATTGCTAACGTCCACCCGTTGGATCCTGTTACCGGACACGCTCTGCGCATGGTTAACGAGGGTCTCACAAAGAACGGATTTGCCATTTCACGGGGGTGGACAGCGTCCTGCGCCTTTCAAGTGGCACGGAATAATATCGGACGCTCAGGTCGGTTGTGCAGGAGTCCTGAGGAAGATATATATCAGAACGGCCGAGGATAGAAACAAGAGACCGTGAATCGTTGAGACCTGACCGTAAGGAGTGCGTGGTGCTGGCGAAGTCTCGAATTCGCAAGAATATCCCTGTGGTGTACACTCAGAGTGGGGGGGAAGTATGAACATGTGCAGATGACATCAGAACATAGTTTTGACTGAGACGCATGTTTAAAAACTTATAAAGATAAGTAGTGCATTGATCTAACGGCGAACATCACTCGATGCAGCGACGAGTGCGCAAATGAGGTAAGATACTTGCCAAAACAGGCAGGTCTTTCAGAAGCCAATAACTTGGTCAATGGATGCACTCTGGAGCTTAGATGATGTGAGTCAGAACCTAACCCGCACGATGTGTTATCCAATGTAGCCTGTACATCCTCAGGTGGAACGAATGCGGATATAATGCAATGTCGTGCAGCAGGACAAGACGATCGAGCACGGACAAGAACCCTGACTTGCCTAGGACGAACATGACTCCCGGGTGTCGATCAGGCTTGGTAGTTTAAATTAGATGCAATCTCAAATCGGAGTCGCTACATGTACGAGACAGTATAGATACGATAAGATAAGTTGCGATGCAATGCGAGTGGATAGAAAGAATATAAACACGGTCGAATGGGATGAAGCAGGTGGTAATAATCAAAATGGGATAAGTTAGGATAGAATGGGATAAAATGAAACGAGGTAAGACGGAGTCAAATGGGACAGGGTGCAGATTGAGTAATTTACAGTGCGTGCCGCCTGCGGCAGGGGTTCACGATGACAATTGTGTATTGTACAGTGTCATGCTTGTGTTTTCATTCTTCGTGGTTCGTTCATGCGTTCATACCTTCGTTCGTTCATATACGCTTGTCCACCTACGTCCCAGAAAGAGGCACCAGAGCAGATACCAGCACAAGCCAGAGTAAGGACCGATCCAGCCTTGAAGTTTGAAGCTTGCCGTGTTGCTCTTGCGCCTCCGTTTTTTCTTCTTTTTGTTACGCCTTTATAGAAAACCTCGTCCTCAGACCCGGGCCTTCGACTTGTACAACGTATTCGATGTCCGTCGCCTCGTAGTTTTCCAGGAGGCACGCATCCTACGCACTCGTTCATCATCATTACAGGAACGAGCTAGAGAAAGCATACCCGCAGCGCATCGACGCTAGCTCGCGCAAGGCGTTGAGCGAGGTCGGCGAGGGGGATTCCCGCTAAATCGTCCAGCGCGAGTTGGAGGGAGACGCATGTCCCTCGCCACTGTATGCATGCAACTGTTAGCAAAAGACCGCTACGATATAGATGAAGACGGAACGCACCTCAACCGTATACTCGATGCATGGCACGCCCTGGAGGACCTTCTGCCCGAGCTGGATCCCGAGACTTGCGAGGTGCGCATACAGCTGGTCGGGCGACGCCTCGAGGAGAAGACGGAGATCTGCGGCGAAGGGCGGGAGGGACATTCGCGTTTCGTTCTCGCCTTGGGATACGGCTTACTGGATTCGTGTGTTGATGCTCCATCGTCATCTTCTCGGTGGGATATGTACGAATGCGTTCAGCAGTGCTTGGACACTACCTAATTCGAGCAGCGGGTGGGCGGAGCAGGGCTTGGACTGTGCGGTATGCACGAGGCAGAGGGATCATTTTGACCACACAGAAGAGCCAATGAAACATACGATGCCACTCGCGTGTGGGATGTGACGGGTGACGAGGACATGGGAGGGCTTTGACCGGACGCATTGGGAAGGATGCCACAGGACGCCCCCAACATCGAGGACACATCAAAAAGTTGTAGAAGCACATTGATCAGGATAACACAGGTTATTTCAGAAAACCTACTATCATACAGGACATTTTGACGCGTCTTGACACGCTTTCCAGCGAGCAGACGCGTCTACCATGCATCGGGACCTACACCAGCAGAGGTCAGTAGCAACTTACGCGCAAGACGTACCTTCCCTGCCTTCCACAGCCCCACGAGATCTGCACCTCCGCCTTTCTTCCTCCCTAGGGCGCGTCGTGCCTGCGAACCGTCGCATTCAGCTCGAGGGCGGGGTCGACGCGGAACCGCGAGCAGACGGGCGCTTGATGACGATCTGTGCACGATGGTGCGGGCGCTACTTTCAATTTGACCTTGATGTGTTTGTGGCGGGCGAGCTCTCTGTCCACGATCGGTGCCACTGATGTGTGTTTCACTTCCTCCAAAATGCTATCTCGCTCTGGTTGATCATGCACCTTGCTGTGTTGATTTACTGAGACTTCGCCAGGCTTCTCGCTTTTCGTATAATTTGTAAAGTTCAAACACTACATGGGTTGATCTTTGGTTGACAATCGGGCTCTGTCTCACCATCTAGTTGCTAGCTTGTGTCTGCCCAATGAGGCGAGCAATTCGACCCGCCGGTGCCTTCTGAGGCCAAGATAGTTCTTGAGGGAGTGGAGCTGGCTTTCTTCATGAAACAGCGAGTGCCTGTTGACAACTACAAACCCATTCATATCGATCAAGGCCGAGTAACATGAACGCGAGCAGTGCACAAGTTGGATCATCCGAAGGACCGGTATCAAGCCCTTGTCAGAGAGCAATTACAAGGAAAACGGTACTGCATGCGGCCACGAAGCTCGTTATTTACTAATAGTACCAATTGTCCGATTTGACACTATCTAGTGCTGCAAGGACAATAATGATAGAGATACTGCAAGATACACAGCCTCAGGCTACAGGATTACTCGACACACGACAACAATATCATACGCACAGATACACAATAAGAACGAACAAGAACGAAATCAATCAGACCGGAAAGCAATCGTCATAGTCACAGTCATAGTCAGCATATCCGGCCACCACTCACGCTCCATCCCCGTCCCCGTCCCCGAGACGACCCCGCCCAGCCCCTGTCGCGATCCCAGTCCATGCGTTCTCGGTCTGCAGACGGCCCACGAGGAATGGAGCCCACGGGCAGCCGGTTCACGGGCGGAGGAGTGGGGTAGGACGGAAAGTTGAGCGCTCGGAGCGCACGGGGACCGCTCGGCAGTGGACGAGATGGAAGAGACGTATTTTGTACAGCTCGGTGAGGTGCGGGGTACAGCGGGCGCCGAATAGGAGCAGATGGCAGGTTAACATGAGGAGAGACGATACCGTTCAGGTTAACATGAGGAGGGCCGATACCGTTCAGGTTAACATAAGGAGCTACGATACCGTTGAATGACCGTGGGTGGGTCGGGGGAGAATACTGGCGGGGCGCTTTTGGCAGTGCGGGCAGGCTGACTATCTCGCCGTCCTCCTGCGACACCTGCCGATCGACGGGACGTACAGGACTGGACTTGCGAAATGGCGTTGATGAGTTCAAAGGTGGTGTTTGTGGACTGCAAAGACGGGGGAACAGCTTTGGAGTCTTACCGGTAGAGCTGTTTGCTTCTGATGGCGCAGCCTCCTTGCGCAGAGATGAAGCTGGACTGGCGGAGGGAAGTTCCGGTATATGGGGTAGGAGACTGTCAGCAGGGTTAGGTACAGCTGCTTCAAGCAGCTCGATCTTGGCCTCCATCGACGGATGAGGATGGTCCGGCTGCACGAGCACAGTCTGAGTGCCTACCAACCGATCCGAGTCCTGCTCTTGTAAGCACTCTCCAGGTACAGGCACTGACGGCACATGCTCGGAAACTGCCTTAAAGGCAGATTCTGCGGTGCTCGCGTCCACATGAGACATTGATTCCTCACCATGCTGAGGCGGCGCCACGACAGGCTGCAAGCTGCCCGCATTGTCCAACGGCACCACACTGGCCACCGGCGAGGCTGCCGCCTTTGCCATCTCGTCCTCCTGCCGCTTCCGCTTCCGCATAGCGGCAAAGTCCTTCAGTGACATCTTCACCTTCGGCGGTGGAGGAGGGGCTGCCGGCGGTGGGGTTGATGATGGTGGTGGAGGTGGCTGCATGCCTTCGGTGCTCGACATGTTGACGTCCTGTGCTTGTGGATGCAACGTAGCGGCATCCTCAGCATGTGGTGTGCTCTCGTCTGCATGCGATGCACTCTTCGATGAAGAAGACTCTCTCGGAGGAGAAGCACGAACATCGGCCCGAGTCATAGCGACATTCTGTGCCTCCGCAACTCTGTCCGAGGCCATATCTGAACGCGAGAGTGGCGTAGTGAACATCTCAGGTGACAACGCCGCAGGAGTGCGTTTGGGTTCAAAAGCAGGCGTTGATAGAGCTCGAGATTCAGAAGATGGCGAATAAGTGACGTGCGTAGGCGACGCACTCTCTTCTGAGTGGGCCACATCCTCATGTGTCCGTTCTGACTGTGCTTCAGCGAGGTTCCCTTGCGACAACACCGACTCGACAGTATGTAGCCGTGAATGCTCAGGCGGAGAAGCTGTGCGACGATGGGCAGCGAAGTAGGACGATGGGCCGGGTATGACAGGAGACAGAAGGGAGAGTTTGGAGAAGGGTATGGAGGGAGAGAGTTGGCCATCATTGACGAGTTTTTGGGGAAAGGAGAGAGATGATGGGAGAGGAGAGGTGTGGACGGCATGCAGGCTTTGCGATTGTGGCACAGGTGGAGGAGGCATCTCTTTTGGATCTGCATATGAATGTTAAGCAAGCGATCATGAGAAGGACGGTATTGAGACGTACCAAACGCATGCTCATCGACATTCATGCGCTCTGCCCCTTCCTGTAGCTTGCCACTACTCGATGGGATCGCCCCGATAGGCATGTCTGCTCTGTCCTTCAGATGCGCATCTCGCAGCGCCTCGTAGCTCTTGTGTATCCAGCCCTTGCGCATCTTCGGTGGCAGCTTGTCTTCGGACTCGGAGCCGGATGACATTGGCTCGGGCGACGAGGCTGGAGGGGTCAGGTGCTGGCGATGAGAGGCAACTGCACGGTGGCGATGACGGTAGCAAGTGAGCAACGGAGGATGGATCGTTCGATGATCACTACTCACTTGTAGACCTTTCACTGCGCATCTCTCCTTCGTCATCCTCGATCGCACGCGCTTTTCCCTTCCGATCTTTCATGCGGCGTTTGGGTGCAGATGTTGCTAATGGCTCGCCTCTCGACGAGGAGTTGGAGGTGCCAGATGCGACGTCCGCCTTGCCCAATGCGGCGCGTTCATCCGGATGCTTACCTGCATGTGTGCCGCGCGCGGTAGGCTCCTGCAGCATGGGCACATGCGTATCGCGCGGAGACGGGATCATCTCGACGCCGGTCATCCCTCCACTCCACATCACCCGCTCCCTCGTCCTAAACCCCCGCTCGACGCCGATCAGTGGGCCTAAGTCTGTCCGCTTCCGCCTGCTCATCTCCCGCTCCTCATCACTTTCGCTCGGTCTCCGTGACCTCTCCCACGCAGAATTCCACGACTCTCCCTCTGAAGCGAACGCTGACGGTGGCGATGGCGATGGCGTGGGAGGTGTTTGTTGGTCGATAAACTCCGCCATGCGCATGAGCGCGCAGTCGCGAGACTTGGAGCCGCATGCGCAGGTGGTAAAGGTGGAGGAAAGGGCGTGCAGCATAGATGTGAGCTGTTGCCGAAAGTGTTGCAGCTGATGTGGGCTGTTAGTTGGAAAGGTGTGGCGCGTTAGCTCTGAACTCGCGCATAAGAGACAGTGGACGTACGGAAAGATGTGTGGACTGTCAATCAAAGCCGGTAAGTGGTGAATGACGCTCCCATCATCCCACTCCCAACCCAACACGACCTCCTCGTTCGCTTTCAGGTCTCGCAGCGCAAAGATCCCGAACGTCAGAGCGTCCTCCTCGTCTGGCGTAATATCTCGTGGCACGCGATGATCTGAATGAGACTTTGACCGCGAGCAAATCATCGGGCGCAGGACCGCGTTTGGGCGGCAGCCATTGCGCACGAAGCGCGCTTGGTTACCTGCCAAGCGCGCGTCGAGGGCGAGATCGAGTGGGGGACCGAGGAGGTGCACGAACGGTTTGGGCATGCTGAGGTGAGCGTACGAGTTGAGGGGATCGGAAAGATAGGCGGAGGAAGGTGTGATGGTGGATATGAAGGGCGTGATGATGTCGGAGGATGCGATTGGGCGCGATGCATGAGCGGCGTAGGCGGGCGGACGGATGGAGGGATCGGTGTGGATGGAGAGAAAGGGATGATATGACGATTTGGAGAGCGGGCGAAGAGTGATGTGCGGTGTCGAAGGGAGGGAGTCGGGGCCGAAGGTAGCGGGAGTGGTGATGGGCGACGTCGATGAGGAGGAGGTGGGATCGATAGCGGTTACACCTCGCCACTGGGAAGCGAGACGGCGCAGCTTGTCGCGAGTCTCGCGTTCGGGAACAAAGTCTTTCTCAATGGGCAAATAGCTATACGCAGAGGGCTCGTCGATATCGATGTGCTCATCCTCGGCGGTCTGGTGCACGTTGACGTGGATCGACGGTCGCCGTTTGCGTTTGCTGGGGCCTGAACCGTCTACGCCCAAGCCGCTGACCTTGCGGACCCTCCTTTCAACTCCTGGACTGACTCTACGCTTCTTTTCAGCCTCTGCCTGGAGTATGATCCTCTGACGGGCCTTCTGCAGACGAACGGCACGGTCTCTGTCGATGGGGCGAGGACTACAGACCCAACACTGCCATTCGTCGGGGACCTCTGACTCGACGATGCCAAAGCAGGCGGCATGGCACCAGCGAGAACATGAATCACAGCCGATGGAGAAGCCATCGTCGTACGCAAATCCGCAGATGCAGCTGATGGAGTCTGAGCTCGCGGAGGCCTGGTCTGCGTCTGTGATGCGGGTGGAGGGCGACGACGACGGCTGCTTGCGTTTCAGAGGGACGGTGGGAATGGGGTCAAAGGCGTGGTTGAGACCGAGCAAGCCCAGGGCGGCTTCGGTGGCATCGCTGCCCATAACGCGCGACGTCGAGGAAGTAGGGACAGCGAGCACAGCAGTCGACAAGTTCAAAAGCGATGTGGCGGCAGCGAGAAAGACAAGACGGCGCGATCTAAGCAGGCAAAGGTGGGTACATGCGCAGTTGGGACGTTGTGGCTGCGAACAGAGCGTCGGGCGTCGTGTTGAGTGATGCTGAGCAAGCTGAAGGCGTCGAGCAAGGAGGACCCTAACCCTCACTGCAGTCTCGGCGGTGCGTCGGCCGTGAGCCGGGCGCTTCCGGGCCCTCTGCCCGGTCATTCGCCCCTTCGCGTCCATCCACGCTCACCAGACGCTCCCATCCTCGCGTCTCTTCCTCCACAACCGCCATGTTGCAGGTCCAGAGAGCCTCGTCGCGCGTGCGCACGCCGTCTTTCGCTGTCTCGCAGCCGTCCTAACCTCTCTCTCGACCGCAGCTTGTGTTCCGACGTGCACGTCATGCTATCGTAATCGGGCAATGGACGCCCTCGCGAGGGCTCGCAACACCAGCAGAGCCCTACGACGCGATCGTCATCGGTTCAGGTGCGTGTTCTCGACGCTATACAGTCGATCTTGCTTTCCAATTCATCGGACAGGTCCCGGTGGCTACGTCGCCGCCATCAAGGCCGCTCAACTCGGCCTCAAGGTGCGTCCGAATTTTCTTTAACTAACTTCTCCGTCATTGACCTTGTCCCTCAGACCGCTTGCATCGAGAAGCGGGCGACACTCGGCGGCACATGTCTCAACATCGGCTGCATCCCGTCAAAAGCCATGCTCAACAATTCCCACATCCTCCACCAAACACAACACGACCTCAAGCGCCGCGGCATTGATGTCGACAGCGTCTCTCTCAACCTACCTCAAATGCTCAAGGCGAAGGATGACGCCGTCAACGGCCTCACCCGCGGTGTCGAGATTCTCTTCAAGCAGAACAAAGTCGACTGGATCAAGGGCACCGCATCCTTCATTACCCCGAGCAAGCTCAGCATAAAGCTTAACGAAGGCGGCGAGACGGAACTCGAGGCAAAGAACATCATCATCGCTACTGGCTCCGATGTCGCGCCCTTTCCCGGTGGCAACATCCACATTGACGAGGAACAGATCGTCTCCTCGACTGGTGTCCTCTGTCTCCAAAAGGTCCCAGAGAAGATGGTCGTCATCGGCGGTGGTATCATTGGTCTTGAGATGGGCAGTGTGTGGAGCCGTCTCGGTGCGCAAGTTACTGTGGTCGAGTTCCTGGGTGCTATCGGCGGTGCAGGCATTGACGAGGAGATTGCGTGCGTATCGCTACGTTCTCCATGTAGTCATCTCACTCACCTGTTCCTATCAGCAAGCTCACTCAGCGGATGCTGGCCAAGCAGGGCATGAAGTTCATGCTGAACACAAAGGTCATCTCCGCTGAGAAGAAGGACGGCAAGGTCTACGTCAAGACCGAGGCAGCGAAGGGAGGTCAGGAGACTACGGTGCGTAAGCCTCTAGATCCCCGCGTTCGTGCATTTGCTGATAAACACTACAGCTGGACGCCGATGTCGTCCTCGTCGCAGTCGGCCGCGTGCCTTACACCGAGGGCCTCGGGATTGACAAGATCGGCGTCGAGACCGACCCCAAAGGTCGCATAATCATTGACGACCAATATAACACATCCGTCGCAGGTGTAAAATGCATCGGTGACGTAACGTTCGGGCCTATGCTCGCACACAAGGCAGAAGATGAGGGCGTCGCTGCCGCCGAGTACATCAAGATCGGCCACGGCCACGTCAACTATAATGCCATACCCTCCGTGCTCTACACCTATCCCGAGGTCGCTTGGGTTGGCAAGACCGAGCAGGAGCTCAAGAAGGCCGGTGTCTCATACAAAATTGGCAGGTTCCCCTTCGCCGCCAATTCCCGTGCCAAGACCAACCTCGACACTGAGGGCCAGATTAAATTCATCGCTGAGAAGGAGACCGACCGCGTGCTTGGCGTGCACATCATCGGTAAGCGTCTGCATCAGCGCCTTTTCTGTCATGGTGTAGTGACTGTATATCCTCCGCAGGCCCCAACGCAGGCGAGATGATTGCTGAAGCTACGCTTGCTATCGAGTACGGCGCGAGCTCAGAGGATCTTGCCCGGACATCACACGCTCACGTACGTGCCTGTCTGCGGTTTCGTCATCGGCTACTCATGTATTTGTCTCTCGCAGCCTACACTCAGCGAGGCATTCAAAGAAGCAGCACTGGCCGCGTACTTCAAATCGATCCAGTTTTAGGCCGTGGATGCCGCGTCGTGTCGAGCTCGGACAGGATTAGCATAGTTAGCCGTTATTGGCGATCTTGGCTTTCGAGCGATAGAATGAATGGATGTCTTGCGTGACGAATCTTGGCGCGCGCATACATTGGGCGCATTGCGAGACGCAACGGTACAAGACTAGATCCGATACGGCCCAGTGGATTATATATCAGATATTAATTGGTAGGCAGAGTCCACGTCGCTCCGACAAGCACCCCGACAGATTTTTTTAGTTACTTCGCATCCAAGACATGCACCTACACTGACTCCTCAAGGCGCCATGTTCCTTTCATGTACAGGCGCTCTTGAAAAATGGACGGACGAATGTAGATGGAATGAAATGATCATATCTCTCTTTCTTGTACAGGACAATGTTCGGTAACTCGACTGTTGTATTTACAACTTCTCTTATTCATATTCTTGAGCATGCGTATACACACTGAACTCTTCGTCTTCTAGGAATTCGTATCAGCTATCGCCATTCCCCTCAAGCAAGGTATCTGTCGACGTCCTCCGAAAATCTGGTGACTTATCCGGAACTAAACGCCTTGTGCGGGAGTAGCAGTGTCTGAGTGTCCTACATCATATTCAACGTAGCGTTCCGTCAACGCTTTCCAGTCGACCGGCTCTTCAGAATCAGGGCTGGATCCCGAACTACTCGCATGTTCATCTGAGGGACGTCTCTGCCATCCTTCCATCCATTTCAAAGTATCAAGGACCCTCATGCGCATAGCAGCGACAACCTTCAGATCAACCGGGATGTCATTCGATAGTGCCCAATTCATGTATGGTTTGCCGTGAGAACCACCCGTCATCCACGTGGTATGGTGTACGAGATTGTAAGAATTGATCCAATGCCAGCAACAGAGGCAGCTACGTTTGCTGCAGCCAATGGGCCGGACTTGCTCGGACGACTCCTCCTTGCTGGAATCCAGAGAGATTATCAGACGCATCTCCGCGTGGAAAGCAGGTGTCACAGTCCTAATCCAGCGTTCGATGGAAACGGGATAATGCTGCCAGAAGACATTTTGGTTCTCTGGCTTCAGAGGGCCTAACTCCATCAAACGAGATGCGGCATCCACTGGAAATTCGGAGATCTCGACAGGCGGAGAGTCATCGAGCGGAAAATCTACCCATCGAAATGGGGGTATCTGTCCAGACAGGCGGCTGCGGTATCGAAAAAGGCGTTTGATGCCCCGGGAGTATTGCCCAAGCTTGGCAAGTCGTCGTTGAAACACCTCAAATGAGGGATGACAAGTGGGCTTTTCGGCCTCGCTTCGGATGAAACGCGTCTTCGTCAGGGAATAGGCTGCTTCTGACGCAGCTTCAAACCTCTTGAGAGCGTTCATTCGATCACCGGAGTTGATGTCGAAGTCTGTGACTGTGTCGCTCAAGACGTTAATGACGCGCTCCAGCGATTCCCGCTATGATAGTAGTGGGTCTTGTCGATTTGAAGCTCACAAGGCTCTCCGCGAAAATTAGCGATCGGCGGCACACGTCTGCCCTGAAGTGATCGCTCCATTGCTCGTCATGTCTCGTGATCTCTTTCCCTGTGCGTCTGTATGTGGCACGATGAGGGATCATGTAGTCAATTTATGTACCTCTGTTTCCACATCATATTCGAGCTCCTCTATTACTGAAAAGTGGACAAACTAGCTGCTCATTATGGAAATGGCGCGCACACAATTCGAATTCTAGGGTGATGACTGACAAACGAAATGATTTGAAAAAGTAACAAGCCTGTTCAAGCCACATCTCTCCAAAAGATAAACCACAGTAATGAAGAGCAGATTTTATTACACGACAGGCGGTGTTACTATTTCAGTGCTTTCAGTGCTTGAAACGCATGAAGCGCCGGTTAGCAAAGTAACCGCGCTCATCGTAGCGGGCGCTGCCGGCACCGGCCCTACCACCTTATTGATGAACGTCGAGTTTCAAATATAGGATAGGGTCGCTTGAATGGAATTCACTTTCACGTGGTCCAGCGTTATATCCATCCATTAAAGCTTCAATGCGTGACCGCACATCGCCCAGACTCTCGGCCACCTTCTTGACCCTCTTGTTCATGTTCATCCCGGCGTAAGTCGCTATAACCGCGAGGATGTCAATGGTGCGAGTGTTTTTGGAATCCGAAAGGGCACTCAAGAACAGGGATGCTTGCTCACAATCCCTCACGGAGGGCACGTGGTTCTTCAATAGAAGGATAGTGATGGTGTGGCGTTTGTCAAAGGTTGTGGCCACAACATCGTGACTCTATCCAGTGGCGAGATAGAGAGCAATACTATCCAGCAGCTTCAACTCTATATCGACGTTTCGATCCCGATCCCTCTTGTTCGACCTCGACAGATCGGAATGCGGCATCCTTTCTTCATGATATCGATAGTGGTCGAGGATCTGCAAGTACTCGCTCAAGTGAACTTGAAGACCTTGAGAATCTGGACGGATGCATCAGCATTCGACACCATGATCTATCAGATAATAGCTGACCGGAATCCGTCATATTTCGGATAGGTTAAGAGACATAGAAGGTCACCGAGGGCATGAACCCATGATTCCGCCGGGAACATTTTGGACACATCACAATAACAGTCACAATGTAACTCTAATGTTACTGATGTAAACATCACGGAATAATTTGAATTATCTCGAGTGAGATCATTGTGGAATAATAGTGATATTATTCAGAAAGACACCAAGATGAGACAACAATTTTGCTCCGGCCAGCATTCATATAATATATTGGTATCATTTTGAATGGATCTTAAGGGTACATTACAAATGTGATCAATGTGATGTTACCATGAGTACCAGATGCTTTCCATCATGTGCCGGCTGGAATCATCTTGAATGCATCGAGGATGTCTTAATATGGTTAGCACATTACTATATATAGTAATAACAATTATGTGATCACAATGAACCCATTGGGAACATCTTGAAGACATCATGGCCACTCACAGGTATCATTTGAGATTTTCTCCCAAGAAACATTTAGGATGCTATCACAATAATGCTTGAATGCTGTCATCTGCAGCATTGGGGTCTCATTCTTCCATCTTTATGAATGCTATCCAAATTGTGCCACAATGTCAATGCTTAAAACATTTTTAAACATTCAAAATGATTTCAAAATGTATGCGCTAAAAACATTGCATAATTATTTGGACTGTTATCACAATGTGTCCAAAATGTTTCGGGCGGAATCATGGGCCCATGCCTCCGGTGGGTGGTGACAAACCAGTGTATGGGAAGTGGGAAGAACGCGTCGGTGTAAGCGCGCTACTGTTCTGGAGAAAATTAGAGTTATTTAAATTATGTGTGCATCACGCTATCCCGGTCACGTGCGATGCAGACAAACATTCTGGCTACTTAGCACTTGGGTGAAGAGGCGCCGGGTGCCGGTTCCAAATAACACAGAGGCCCGTCGCAGGGCATGCGCAAATGCCATTCATATTACACCATCGAATGCTGCCATTATCTCGTCTACTGAACTGGCAAACACTATGGGTCCCTTTGCTCTGACCATACATGAATCACTGCACCACGAATCGCTCATGCACCACAAGACCGACACCGGTTCAGGGGGTTGCATGCGAATGCTATCGAACGCAAGGTTCAAACAACCACTGTCGAAGAAGAGACGTTGCCAGTCGGGGCAGCCCCAGTGATGACAAGAGGATTGGCCCCCATCATCGAAGGTGAATTCTTGTCCCTGATATTTCCCCTTTGCAGCGACTCTGAGTTGGGTACCTTTGATGGTGGGAGAGCAAAAGGCAAGGTGTTGCTGAATGTGAGTCAGATATGCAGGGATGATGGTGTCAGCGGTGATCACGTTCATGATGATTGTGGACGTCCACTCACCCCCAGGAGCAATTAGTCCATGTGCAGTTGCAACCGAAACAAGCGATGCAAAATTGAGCCTGCACACCAGATCTTTCAATGGCATGTCTATAACAATGCATTCCAATCCACTGCGCAGAGCAGATAAGTCACAATGATGAACACTGGTGAATAAGTACCTAGTTCTTTCTGTGCGTCGAAGCTGTCCACTTACAACTGAAAATTGATCCAACAGATGCCAGTGCATCGTACAAATCCTTTCTGAACTCACTTCGTGCAAACCATCATGTACAAAATCGAACACTGCAATGGCAGACACACAAGCCAAACTACATCGATGCCAGAACAATAGACTCCAAACCGATCACCGTACATTTTCGATGGTCTCTTCCTATATGATGCATTCGAGCGAGATCGGTCAAACTGTGCAATGGAAGTACGCGAGCAAAGAACAATAAAGGCAGTGGCAGGCATGTCAAGCATGATCGATGAAACGTTCGAGGACCACGTGGAATCGAGGGAACTCACAGGTTGCATACCTCTGAATGTCACTGACAAACGATGAGACAGCAGGACAGGCAATCCGTATCGAGGCAAAAATCTATATATATCATTTGTCGAGCATACGCATGACCTATGAATACTACCTCCAACTGGAGGAGAGCAGTAACCAATTGAGGGATGCGACCGTGCACACTCTGAGACGTCTCCTGAATGTGCAACCGGCAGCTGAGCTATAAAGAAACAGAGCACGTCGAATAAGAACACATTAATAGCGAAAAGCGCTGTGAACGAATGTCAAAATCAGAGCATAGACCATTTAATAAATGACAACTACTCACCATGCACCGCCGCGAGGAAGTACATAATTAAGCGACGTGAGCATATATAAAGCAATAAGTACACGCTAACAGGGAGAAACACTGCAAATCAACGTCGAAATCATTACAGACTACTCACTAAGGCTCCAACTATTTATACTATTTACACTCCTGAGGTGTAAATAAATAGTATATAGTAAACAGTTATCTATATGTCATGTAAACAGTTTATATAAAGTTTATATAGTTTTTTTGGTCCCATCTTTTGATGGAGTTTTACTCAACTGTGAGCAGCCTCTGTGATTGTTGAGGCCTTTAAGGACCTGTTTGCATCAGCAAGCACATGACAGTGAGCAGAAAACAAGCATTCAATGTCAACACTTGCACCAGAAATGACCAGAAAATCTTATGTCATACAAGAAATGACAAAAAACTCATGTTCATGAGCCTATATGATGATAAACTGTCAGTGGTGACTGCTGTTAAACACTATGACTTTCAATTGGCTCACTGTTGTGCTGTCAAATCTAGCAATTGTGCACTCAATAGCCCTATATCATCATAAAACTATTTATACTATATATATACATCTATTTACTATGTACAGGCCCAACTGTAAATAAACAGATATAGTAAACAGTTAAAACTATGTAACATAGTAAATAGATAGAAATGTTGGAGCCTTACTACTCACCATGCACTGCCGCGAGGAGGTACGTAGAAAACGCCATCGAGCGACGTGAGCGGATAGAAAGCAAGAGAGCTCAGAGGAGGGACGAACGTTACGTAAACTACTTCCTAAAAGGTGTCGAACTGCGGCGACGATTATTACATAAGCCGTTCGCGTCCACATTCTGTCAATAGCCAAATTACTTTGTTATTTGGAACTGATCCGCGAGTTATTCGATGCAGCCGGCTTGCCTTGTTTATCCCTGGATTATCACATCTGCCCTTGACAACACAAGGACACTTCCTCTAAGTTCTAAAAGCTTTGCATGATCCTGCTCCTGCAATACTCTGTTTCATTCGCACTAGCCCGTCAACTTAGGACCATGGGTAAATTAAATCACAGCAAAAATGCCAGATGAGATGTTACCGCGTTTCGTTTTTTCAATCTCCGATCGGCTCTTCCCGTGGCGCACTGTGGCGCAGATAGAGGTGAGTGCTGTCGGACGCCCAACCCAATCCTCATCTGAAATGTGATGTCCGAAGCACAGCGGACTCAGCTCTGTTCCGTTGCGACACCTCGGAACATCTGCTCCGTCCGTATCGTGAGGTGCGTAGATGTTTCCTCGGACGATGAGTGAAGCGATGCTGATGGACGAGCAGAGAGCCCCGGATCAACACCGCTCTTTCTATCTGTCATTCTTTTCCTGCACTTCCGGATACCTGATGCCTGTGCATGGCCTCGTTTTCCCGACTTTCGCGTTTGTTCAAGTCCGGGCAGTCCTCGTCTATCACTCGTGGAGATGAAGCAGAGACGACAAGAGACGACGACTGGTACATTCCGTACAATGGACCGGTGGAGCCGCCACAGGATCTGCACGAGAACAGGGACAGCTGGGGCCAGCTGGTGAGTGGATGGCTCGTCGAGGGTTCACATGAAGCGCAAGACCGGTATGCCCGCACGACTCGCGACCGTGCCGCTTCGAACGCTTCTCGTCTCACCCGTTCCTCAGGAATCATTGATCCCACTCTCCGCAGCGCTTCTACCGCACATTATACCGCGCGACATGCCGTCACCTCGCTCTTCAACTCTGACCAGGCTGATGGTATCGGCGAGTCGCCGATCCCTCTTCACATACTGCAGGAGCAAACCGATGTAGAGTCCAATTGCCACAGCATTGCCGGCTTTCTGTCGTTCGGGAAGGGAACCAAGCGAACACGGACCATCCATTAAGCGGCGTCTATGAGCCAAATCGGCCACAACACGTCAACTGCAATGGGAGCGGTGCCAACGAGCACATCCAACGACTCCTTCGCCACCCCTGACGCAGATGTCTCGCAGCCTCCTGATCGCGCCGGATTTGTACGACGCCACCCGTATGCATTCCCGTTCTCTGCGCCTGCTACATCTGCACCCCCTCCTCCCCCACCACATCCCAGCCGTCCTATAAACCACCACGGAAGCCGTCATTCAGGCTTCGCGAGACATTCTCTCAGCAAGCACGACCGTTCGCTTCCAGACCCTCACACGCGCAGGCGGGCATCAAGGCATCCACCTCTGTGCCCAACCTCCGCGAGCGTGTGCCTGGGTCCACGCCAGTACCAGCCAGTCTTCCGAAAGGAAGACAGCGGTGGCTGTCGCCAGAAACGTGGTGCGACGCGATTATCCTCCCCCGACCGCGATTTGCAGCGCACATCGATCCGGACGGAAAAAGCAGGCGGATTGTCAGTCCTCCTCCGAGCCCACTGCTACCAGCAGAGGTACCCGATTACCTATTGCCGTCTCGTGCGGCATCCGCATTGCAAAACTGCAGTCGTGGCTATTCTGCGCCATCTGACCTAGCCCCGACCGGCTTGCAAAAAGCGAAGTCGGCCGTTCCCTTAGCCTCCGTGTCAGAATCACCCACGGCAGGGCCTTCCCGAGCTGCACAAGTAGGAACGGATCGCAGCAGACGCGGTGGCGATGAAACCGCACTTGCCGGACCTTCGATAGCAAGAGCTCCGAGACCGAAAAGCTTTGTTTTGGATGATTTTGCTCTTCCGAGCCCGGTACCTTCATTGCAGAAGTACGTCTGCCTTCCAACTTTCGTTTCTCCTCTGTTACTCTAGCAATTTCGGCCTGTACAACGTACTGACATACTCTTGTCATAGGTTCTCGAAGACGGTAGGCAGCTCGAAGCTGACCGCAAAGTATAGCAAGCAAAAGCAAAACACTCCTTCCAGAATAAACGCATGCGGTCATTCTCCAGAAAACGTGCGAAATCGGGTGCTGGTGCCCATGGCCATCGCGACGCGCATGACGGGCGCACCTCTGCGCTGAGTGCGCTTGCCGGACGAACTATGCTGGGCAGCCAAGCGCGCCCTCCTAAGGTGCACGTCAGCCTGCGTCCGTCTCAATCGCAGACATTCAGGCCATCGGAAGAGTATGGCACGAGTACTGGGGTAGGAGTGAACACCTTCACGACGGACTCGCACCACACCAATGCGCCCAGCCACGCCCACACACGCTCGCACGCGCACTCGAATTCCGTAGAGACGACCGCCTCGTCGCGCAACCGGACGGACGAGTCGTCCCGGCCTCCGCCACCGCTGCCAGGCGGGCATATGCATACACGCTCGCGCTCGCTAGGAAGTCGGCGCTACGTCTCGTGCGCACCGCCGCGTCGACGGCCGCGACGTTCTGTGGGTTCACGAGCGCGGAGAGGGTACTCGATGCGGAGAAGGAGGAGCATCGGGTAATGGCGTCGCCGGTAGAAAAGGCTGCGAGCGCCGAACGGCTAGAGGGCGCGCTTCGGCGAGACGACACGCGGGTTATCCGATTACAGGACCAGGCGCGAAAGGATGAGCATTCGTGTCAGGGCGACACTGAAGGAGTGGTTCTCATCACGCCCGCGTCGCCTTCTGATGACCATGTCGCTCATTTTGCTGCTACAGGAGGAATCGTGATGGGACAAAATGGACCCGCTGGGCTGTCGCCTGTTCCTTCCGCCGGGTCCTACTCGGGTGAGGGGATCGGGATTGCGATATCGACACCTACTCCTTCAGACGAAGAGGCGCGACGTCGGCGTGTAGGTCATGAGCATGTGAGGATGCCAACGCATCCGTACGCACGAGGTGCTGCATACGCATATCGCACTTATCCATCCGTCGATGATGGTAGAAACGTTTCCGAAGCGCACACGCATAGATCTACCGACATCGCGGACGAAGATTATCGTCGGCAACGGCAACCTGTTCTCGTTCATCCGTACGCACCGTATGCCCAAGTGGCCAAGCCACATTCTTCAGCCTTGCCGAGGGCGGCTATTTCACCGCAGCTACTCGTCTCTAGCTCTGGTACGGATGAGGGCCAGGAGGTGGAGTTCTCCCCAAACCAGAGCTTGTACGCGGAGATCACTCCAGGTTACATCCGTGAAATCAAACCGGAAGACATCAGATACTCGCCCTTCACGCCAATAGATCCAGCCAAGGGAGAATATGAGCAAGTGGCCAGCAATGGTGCGAAGCTGACAAGTTCGCCTCGCGCACACCTGTATGGTCCGCAGTCGAAGCGGACGAGCGAGTGGGGCCTCGCGGATGCATTGGCGCAGACCCTTGTAGACAGAGGAAGCATCGACAGTGGGTTGGGAATTAGTGATGGTCGCGATTATGGCACCCACTCGGAGTTGGGTGCCTATCTATATACCGGGAGCTGTTAGCCCCTAATGGCCATGCTCAGAGGTCCCTCCATAGCACATTCAATTCTTGTGCTATGCTCTTCAAAATACCCTTATCTGAAAGCCATGCTTCGAATCTCGGAGGCCCCAAAGAAGCCCCAATGCCCAGTTGAGCGGAACGGGCGCTGTTGCCTACGAAATTGACCGTATGAAGTATGTGAACTATGTACGCTCGCAGATACTCCAGATCTGCCCATTGAGGGTCTGCATTTTCCCTACTTTGCTCCTCGTATTGCATAAAATGTGAATGCGATGACGAGGAATCACTTGAAATCTGTGATGCATCGATGACGCCTGGAATATTCCCATGAAGGGACCTCATGCGAGACTCCTCGGAGGATGCTAGGCTCTGTGATCGAACAGCGGATGACATGTCAGGATTTCCAGACCTGTCTTTACTAGGCCTCGGCGAGCCAGACCAATGTTGTTCCCCTGTCTGTCCTAAAGGTTGCAAAGAAGCGTGGGCAGCAGCTTGATCCAGTGGTTGCCCATATTCATCGAGTCCATTGGCCTGGAGATGACCCTGCATCTGCTGCTGCTGGGCTCGTCTCTGCTCTGTCCTCCACCCTGATGGAGTGATTCAGTTCCTTTTATATGAAATTTCTACAGTAATTCTCAGTGACAATGCTCAGAATAGAAATAACTGACATCATACGACTAGGATGAGGTGGTGGAGAGCATTCCAACGTGCTGCTAGAAGCACACATTTGGTCTGTATGTGAATCTATTATGGAAATCCTGTTATTTATAAAGCGACGCTACAATTTGAAGAGTACCTGATTCCAAGTTTCTAACCCCGCCTAGCACACAATATCTGAAGTGAAGAATCAATAGATTGCGGACCCCATTTCCATAAAGGTTCACGTGCTCTTGCAAAGGAGCATGTCCGTATCTATCAAAGTAAAGGACAGGGTGCACACAGGACAGGCTGGCTATGAGATGCCACTTGACCAAGATGTTTAGAACATCTCCAACTGAGGTGTGTTCATTGATAGCTACACAAAGGCTCAGCCTTGATATAAGAGCAGGAAAGCTTGTGTGTCACCAATCTGAGCAGTCCTCATTGATGTTCCTGTAACAAAATCTGAATTTTCTCACGTTGGCTTTGGCAAATGGTCTTGCCGTTTTGCAAAACCGGATCGCAACTTTGAGACCCAACATCTCGTCAAATCATTTAGTGCATTCTCAATGTACTTGCGATGTGCTGTAGATGACTCACATAGTGAAATTACAAACAACATTGATACATCGGCCATGCAAATGACGGATAGCAGGACTGATATTCATTCAGACGTTGATGATGTGGCGGCCTCCAGGAATGTCAAGAGAGAAACAGAAACCATGATCGTGGTGTATACTACATCAAGAAGTGTGATGCGCCGAAGACATATTGTGGGGGGCTGCAGAATGAAGACTAGAACTGAAGATGTCTCAGGCTAACTAACATATCACATCTAGAAGATTGACACTTACAACATAATGCTGTAATTACCGTGATGATGTCGAACAGGCTGACTAAGTCTACCACAATAAGATCAATTAGAAGCGATGGTGACAGCCAAGATTGCACGAGAATCATTGATGACAGCGATAGAAGAAGCAGGACATAGGCTTTCAGTAGGCATTGTCCACAGTATCTCACTCAGGAGGTGTTTAATTGGTTGTTCTGCTGCCGAAGTCTATGAGACCGCTGATGCAGATTAATGAGGCATTTGAACCTCATCTTGCGAGTAAGAACTGAACACTTTGCAATGGATACGTATACACTGTAGTGGTAGAGGGCAGCCACAGTTACACATGTACATGTACAGTTTAAGCTTGCTGCAGGACCACCAGTATCAGTACCTATATGCACTTCCATATTTGTAGAACAATACCGTTGCGATCAGCAAAATTCACCATTGTCTTTGCAATTAATATTGGGTGACCTAAGAGACTGTTCCAGTCTAGATCTGGTCTGACTGCAGGACAATATATACCACTGCTGTTCTGGGCAACTCAATACATCTGTACATCATCAACGCTGACACGTGGTATACAACAGAATCTACTGATGGAACTGTTCAGCCAAGGCTGTCCACGAAAGAGATGTCATGGACGAGGATATTGAAATGCATTTGTTTCGCTATGATATCCAGGCGTGCTGTGCCAGAACAAGAACCCGTCTGTGAACGCACCCTGCTGGAAGAAATGCAGGTACTGCAGTGGGCCACCTGGAAGGGTGCCCATCCTGCTGCAATCTTGGGTCATTCAGTTGTCGCTGTTGTGTAACCGCTACCATGAGCTCTGTCATGATCAGCCATCAGGCACGATGCGGGTGCGCAAGAGGGGGGCACATATCTGGGCATGACTGAGGACGAGCTGCATGATCTCAAGTTTGTTGAAAATCATACCGGTGGCAGCGCTGCCCATTGTCACATGCACACCCCACTAGCTCCAGATTGGGACACTGCTCTTCCCCATTGAGCACTGTCAGTGGCCACCAACCTACCTCCTAGGGAGGTCCCTCCACCTGATACCTAGTATGGCTATCCCACCACTTACATCTGGGTCTGCTGTCCCACGCTGTCTGCTGCACCCTTCCTCGCTGTCATGCATGTGGTTGTTGAACATGCTATAGATCACGAAATCCACGAATGCAAAGAACAGGCTCGACAAGCCTCCTGCACGTGCATCAGGACCTTGCCTTGCATCAGATGTCACCGCAACTCATCTGGGTGCTCGACAAACTGGTCGCGCTTGAGGAGTGTGTTGAAGGGCAGGCCTGAGTTGGAGAGGTACTGAGGGAGGATGAAGTTGACACTGGGCATGGAGTGCACATAGCTACTCCCATCCTCACTGCAGTTGACACCCTGGCACAGGGACAGTATCAAGGATTGGGCACTGGCAAGGATGGAGAGGTAGACCATGTGTGCGGGTGTGTGTCAATTAGATCATAAGCAGGAAGGAATGTGTAGGGTGTGCACAGATATCCATGGCAACCTGCTGGAGGCGGGAAGTGAAGACAAAGTCATCGGAAGAGTGGGCCATGATGGTGAGGAGCTTCTCGAGCTGAGCGGGCATCAGCACTGATGACAGAGAGAATGAGTGGGGATACTCACGAGGAAGAGACGGTTGTTGATGCTGGGCCCTGTATGTTTTTCGCAGCATTGATGAATGCAGGCTACATGGCTCAGCGGTCATGTCCTATCAAGAGGTCATCGAGAGAGAAATGCTTGTCAAAAATGGTGCTTTGCTCAATGTCAGTCACCTCACAGGCAAGAAAGCCAATGAGCTTCAAGCTCAAGGGTGAGGGTGCCGAGTGAGGATTATCCTGCTTGGGCATGTCGGGGGTGAGAAAGGGAATAGTTTACCAAACTCAAAAAGTGCCGCATGGTCGCAGCTGGGTCCCTTGCTCGAAGCACGCCACTGATCATTTTGGAGAGTGCGCACAATTTATTATGGGAGCATCACAAGCTGAGGAGGATCCATGGCACGGTCAATTGAAGTCACAAGCAGTAATACATTGAGAGTGACATTTCTCCATCTGGCTTTATCGTCAATGCAGACGTACCGAGATCAAAGTCCACTAGCACATTGTAGATGAACGCTACACTGAATATATAGTGTTTACTGTGTCCTTTTTTTTGGTTACAATTTTTATACCACTGAAGGCGGTTGAAGGTGTCAATACAGGTAGGTGTCTATGGTGGACGGAACACATCCTGGAATGAGTACATGCATGTGCAACTCAGCACAACATGGGACAAAAAACCTCAGCCCAGATCTCAAGGGATCAGGGAATTTTTGGTGAAGGCGTTGGACCTGGATAAGAAGGCCGCAATCTCATGGCGGGCAGTCTTGGAGGCGAACAGCCATTTCTGGCAGATGGGGCAGTGCAGGTTGCTAAGGTGATGGCATTGGTGGGTATAGAGCGGGCAGTCAATGAGTAGGTGCTCATGGGTCTGGATGTTAGTGGTATGGCACTGGCACTGTGTGGACTCGTCTGCGATGAAGCGACGATAGTAGCTACTGACATGTTCATGCCCCAAGAGCAGCTGGACAAGTCAGCACTCAACACTGCATGGGTCTTAGTTCTTCTTGAAGTAATGATGCAAGGTGAGTAGGGGCTCGGTCGTGACTGCTGCACGAAATTCGGATGGGTGTGCGTCTCGATGAAAATTATGCCTCCACTTATGGAGAGCTCTTTTGTGTGCAGTTCCCTTCATCCACACCAAGGACAGTGGATGAGTGGCTGGGGAGGAAGCACCGTGTTTCGCAAGATGGTCAATGACTTCATTGCCCAGAAAGCTCGCATGACATGGGATCCATATGAGTTCGACTTGTAGGTCCGATCAGCTTTCGAGCATCGTGGTTAACTTCCAATAGAAGAGGATAGAGTGCATTTGGCAGTCGTGAGGGCAGAGATCCAGAATGGACTCCACCACTGCATGATTATCTGAAGCGAAAACCACATGTGTAACATGTGGCCTGGTACAAAGTAGATCTTAGATGTTCATCACCGCCACAGCGAGGGCAAACATCTCAGAGTCGAAAACCTCAGACTGATGTCCAAGGACCCATGATCGCTCAAGCAGAAGAGTATCAGCCAGATACACGCACACACCTGCACCTGCTCTAAGAACCCTATTATGCTTCAACCGTGACCTATCGGTGTATGCCTACATCCATGAAGGGTGAGTGGTGAACTCATCCAGCTTGGGCCAGAGAATGTCAGTGATGAATGCCTTGGAGGCATCCTTAACTGGTGCAGGGACCAGTATGGTGATATGGGTGTCCCACTTGTGATGTGACTCCCAGGGCGGGGCATAGTAAGGGATGGTAGATACGACATCCGGAGTGGTGCATCGCACCAAATGATGAATTATCATCACCGGATGCCAGGCTCGGGAGAGGAGGTGGACAGGGAGGGGGAATGGTTCCAGGACTGAATTGATAGGCCAAGGATGAGGCATCCTGGCGAGTACCTGTGAGTTGGAGGGGAGTGTGTGTAAGCGGACAGCTGCTCAATTGCATATGCGATTCAGCTGCCAATGCATGAGTAGGATGCTGCCCAGGTGGTGCAGTGCATCCGTGGGTGAAGTATGAAAGGCTCCCAGAGATCAACACAAGCATTAGTTCTGTGCGAGTTGCAATGGCCTGATGAGCGTTGCTTGATGATAGTCAGTGAAGTAAACTGGTGCTCCAAAGGTGAGCACGGAAAGGATGTTGGATAGATAAATTGTCCGGACAGCCTTCACAGACATGCCTCAAACTGTGTTGGCCAGCATTCAAAATGCTTGGACCCTAGAAAGTGAGCATGTCGACATGACATGGACGTGGTGATGAAAAGTAAGTCGAGGGTCCAGCCAGAAGCTGAGCCAGTGGATGTGCAGATGCACAGGGACGATGAACTCGTCCAGCGTGCCAGAATGCAGTGTGATTGCTGGTAAGTGAACACAATGAAGAGGAAGGTAAGAGAACTGCGGTTCCAACCTGTAATGTTTATCATGTTTACGAGGAAGAAAATTGCAACCTGTAGCTATCGGTTGTCATCGACAGTTCCACGCTGTCGCCACCATTCCCCTCTCACACAATATTTGGCCCATTTCACACTGAAGCCTCTCATGGCCTATCACTGGTGATAGATTCCATTTAATAAGAGAATACACGAGTAGCCGTTACACTGCCTAACTGTTGAAGCGGAAACTGACGCTCAAACTCTATCTGACAATTCAATGTGAGTGGCCTATCTAGCATGTGGTAGCACAGCAGCATCCATGCACATAATATCACCAAGCATGGTGCATGATGCAAGCTCAACACCGGTGTGGGTATGCGAGTGACAGCAACATCCAAGAAAGCAAGGGCGAGGCTCATACCGCAGGCCATTGACCCTTCACTGAGTGGTCGAGAGCTTCAGCGTCAGATGCCAGCTCCTGTATCTCAGCTCAGAAGTCTTTTTATCAAACATGTCAGCTAATTGAAGGACACTAGGATATGCAAGAGGATTGATAGCATGTTGCAGACACACCACCATCTGACAATGATGCACGCTGCACATGTTGAAACGATCACACTCACATTTTTCTCATACTCACCGACGAGGTTCATTACCTGTTGCCACACCCAGTTGAAATCAGTTTGCATCTGCTTCTTTCTGAAGCTATCCACCATTAGAAATCGTGTGATGTGTAACTGCAGAGAATAGAAGACATTTGAATGAAAATCCTTAGTCGCATGACTATCCAAACTCTGACGAGCACAAATGCTGACCTGGATACTCTTGTTTATGATGGAGTGGTATTCTGTAATATTCGCCAGGAATTTTGAGTCCCTCTGATGGTGTACCTCATCCTTTTCGGCAGCAAGGGCATCACACTCTCGGCAGAGTGCCTCCAATGTTCTGAGATCTGCATACTCGAATGAGAAGACAGCATCATCGAATGCATTGAACATAGGTGTGTTCTGCCCACGTGCTGCTCGGTGAAATGACTGTGGCATGGCATACTAATCAGTATGACTGAAGGGGGATAGAACAAATTATCAGCTGACATCAATATTTGAGTCGTGCATGTTGTCATCGTAGGAATGATAACGATCTTCAGCATCCTTCCAATAGTCATCTGCTTGCCACTCAAGCAACACCTGCATGTCCTCTTCATGCCACTTTTGCAGCTCCTCTATATATTCCGTTACTCCTGCTGCAGTCTTTGGTCGTTCATTCATTTCTTTGAGTACCTCTAGGCTAATGATGACTTCACATTCAGGGATCACTGGTGGCAGTAATGTCATCATAATATGCACTCGAGGAAGTAGGAGCCTTTGATCTCCAGGACAGCTTCAGCAAGGCGATGTCTTTCCACCACATCATATAACTCTCGTTCGCATGTTTAGACTGCTGCCTCGTCCTCATCTGAGGTTTCTTGTGTAGTACAGGAACCTGGCCTTGCACACAATGATGGGCTGGATTCTGGAAGCCATTTGTACCTCTGTATTGCACTTTTGCAGATCATTGGCTAGATTCGGACATTCTGATGCGAACAAAAGTCCTGTGTAAGCGAGACAACAATTTCCCGATGAGTACAATGAACTCAATGGGCAAGGTAGCAAAGCTCAAAGCTGCAAGTTCAAGTTGATGTGCACGTGAGAACGACCATGGTGCATGGAACATGATCACATGAACAACAAACTCGGGGAAGCGTGGGTGCTTACACGCTTCTCAGGATTTTGGCTAGATGGTCGTCGGCATCATAGATGTGAGTACTCCATCAATGCTCGTTGCGTAGCAAGTTAGTCACTTTATTCAGTAACACATATAAACATACTCTTGGACTTGTAAGTGGTAAAACTTATGACATTGAGGAATCAATATCAATCCTCCTGTTCTGTGGGTCTTAGCATAGCTAACATGCTGCTGCGATCACTAGTCCGTTCTCATAAAATTGGCTGACGGATTCTCTCATGTTGCTATAATTCGACTGTGCATGACAACTGTAATAACTCAGAACTAACTGAAGGAGGTTTGATTTGTGGCTAAAACAGACATTTATATCTCGCGTGGTTGTACTTGGACTTTGGATCGGATCAGCGATTGCTTTGACTGCACCTGACAAGATATTCCTTCACTCATTGGGATTCAATGCTGTTCTCATGCCCGAAACAAGATACCTCTAGATGTCATCTATTCGAGATTCTTTGTTTCCCCCAGCATCCATTGAATGCACTAGCTCACCTATGCCACGTGTAGCTTCCCATGAGAAGTTATCCACTCATCTGCTCCTATCACCTCCTGCCCCATCCTCACCCACATCTGCAACCTTCCTTGAAACAGCCACCTTGGACCCTCCACGATATGTTTCATACATGCTGTGACAGCGTGTTGCCCCAATGTCTGTGACCACCAGTGCGACCATGCATCCAAATATAAGCCTGCAGTAGCAGCCAAGTGCATATCACGGTGATGCTACCAGCAAGCTTCAGCTCATGAATTTCAAGGCTGTAGCCCAATGCATAGGCTTGGATGCAGGCAACACAGAATGGGCAAAACTGGAGTGCCTAGGTTGAAGACAGATCATGGACCCGAGCAAAACAATATCTGGAATGCATTGTCAGTGAGCAAGGTGTGTGCTGATGAGAATGCTTAGTCGTGCTGGCTGCGATGCACTTCTCTGTGCATACCTTGCTCTTACCCACAGAGCCATGCTGACCAAGTGATCTGATTACTCCAGAACTTATCAAGGGTCACATAGCACTGTGCGACAGTTCCTCCAGGAATGGAATGGCAGTCGTCACTCTCTCAGGGATTCGAGGCACACTCACAGGGTGAGTGAGTTAGCTTTTTCTTCCCTGCATGCACTGACATGTCTGAAGTCATACACTAACATTACGCTCAACAATCTCCCCAGAATCTGAGTCATTTTTTGCACTCCTCCCCCCTCCAAGTGATAGTCCATGTTTGTGCTACTGCCTCCTCTTCCAAACCCTCTAGTACAGCCCTCATCACTGACACCTCCCTTGCCTTCCTCATCTGCGTCATCCATACCATCAGCCCTACCACAGTGTCCCTCCTTCACCATTTCCTCTCATGTCACCTCTCTGCCCCTTCCTCCTCATCTCTCAGTGCCTAAACCACCCTTGCCCCCTCATCCGGGAACCCGGGTGGCATCTGGTCCTCCAAATCCCCTTCATGTCTGTCCAACCTTTTGCTTCCCTTTTTGGACATGCCACTCCCTCTGCAGGGCCATCCACCACCCCTGTCTTATCGCACATGGAGACAGCACTGGCTTTGTCTATCTCCACACCTAGCTCCACCGGATCGGGCCCCAGCATGTCATCTCCATTGCAGGCAGGATCGACTGCTTCTCCAGGAGGACTGCATTGTATGCATCGACCAACTCGTTTACTATCTGTCAAATGCCTGCTTGCTGTAGCAATGAGCATAGATTAGATGCACGGCACACATGGTTCATATACGTCAATTCCAGTCCTCCTGCAAAGGTTGTCAATAAGACAATGAAAAATATAGCAGACTAAAAGAAAATCAAACTCGCCAAATTTGCCATTGGTGTTTTGCCTCATGAGAAGGTAATTCATGCGCTCGAAGAAGAATGTCCGCATAGAATGAACGGGACCAAAGGCACATAGAAATTCTTTGACATGTACCGCAATATGATGATTGGGTTTAATATCAGCTTCTTTGTATAACTCCTTCAGCATCCGCAAATACCGCATGATTGATGCATCGTAGAGACAGATGTGCTCATCTGATGTCTCGAGCATGCTGCTGACGACAACTGCCATTAACAGGTCCATATAATTGTTCAGCATTTCTCACCTTCTTCCTGGCTCATGAGCCCATAGTTGAACAAGTGTCACGGGTATGTGAATTGAACACAATGAAAACCATTGGTCTGCATGTAGCTTTCCCCTTTGCTCAGTGCTAACATTAAGTGGTGCTGGACTAATCCATGAAGGTAAGCATGTCTTCTGGATATCCTCGTGTATCTGTGTCAGTGTTTCATGACCTAAAACTACTGTTGATGCATCCCTGGTGATCTGTGCACTTTTCAGAGGGAGTAGCATGGGCTAATCACCGGTAGATTAAGGTGAGTGGTCTATCTGGTATGCCGTGAGCTATTCACCTTGTGGCTCAATTCAGAGGTCGATTCTTCAGACTGTGTGACCTTCATGCCATGATGCTGCTGCTATAGTATCCATGACATGTATAATCTCCTCAGTAACGATACATGGTGGAGCACAAAATGATCTACCCAATCCACCAGATGACCAGAAGAACAGCCTTGACTCCTGTGGCATCGAGATCCCATGACGTGCACATTGCTACCAGCACAGCCTTGAGAGAACGAGATATTGCTTTCACTTGGCTTCCTTTCTTCAAAGCATCCTCTGCTTTCTTGATGTGCAACTCAATGGACAATGACCCTTTCAATTCTGGCTATTTGAGGTCCTCACTTTTTAATGCAATAATGGGCTCAATAGTCCCATAGCCTTCCTGTGACCGCTGCTCCAAATATGAATAATTAGATATTTAGTATTTTGTGTGGCTTGGCTCACCCATTTGTTCAGACTGTTAAGTAATTGTTTCTTGTTCTTTGCCTGTTGAAGGTTGTGCTCAAAGCATAAGTGCCAAGGTACGCTCTTCCTGCAGCTGGCTTGCAAGATCCTTCATGGTGCCACAGTACAGGTATCACATGCCTTCATTCATTTCTGCATCCAAGGGATGAGGTGGTGCTTTATGAGCATGGGTATATGTGCCATCGCCATCATCGAGACTGAGATCCATGCTCCAAATATCTCTGCAATGAGTTCTGAGCACACCTAGATAGTGATTGTGCATGGTATCAATGACGGTGAACAGGATGGGATCCCAGTATGGCAAACATAGTAATTCAGACCATCGAACACCGTGCTTCTTGAATGCACTCTCACGAGCTTCAGCAGTTGCTGCGGCTTTCCATTCTTCTGCATGCTTGTGATGTTCTGTGGGGTCACATTTGGGCCATGTGCTCAGGTCAAGATTTGCTATGGTGTCAAGCCTCAGCTTGCAAAAGCTACAAAAGTATGTTGCAGTATAGGATTCATGGCCAGACACCTGACAGGCAGCTGGGAGATCACAGACCAAGGGTATCAATGCGCAGTGTACAAGCCGTCCTTGAGCATATCTCGCAGTGCGTGTGTAGAACACGCCTGTGTTCCAGAACGTGAAAAGGTCATTGACGAGTGGCTTCAAAAAATGGTTGATCTCATCCAGAGATGGTTTGTTTGAGCCAGGTATAATTCTGACAAGGTAGGCGTTTTCAGGCAGATAGCGAAGATGAGGAGGTAAATTGAGACAAACCATATATATGCCTGTTGCAGACACCTTCGGGCTTCCCACCTTCATGTCGAATGGGTTGAAACCATCGACTGACAAGCTAAATAGATATCGTCCTTCATTTGAAGGAGCATGCACAAATGGCTGTATCCCATCTGGTCCTTTGAAAGTCTGGAATATTTGTGCATCCCAGACATCTGCTTTCTTCGACTTAAGTCCTGCTTGAGAGCACACATTGGCAAGGTCCATAACCTCCTCAATTCCATCCCGTGAAAGCAGTCGTCCCATCCACTCCTTCATATCTTGATAGAGAAACACCTTGCTGGGAAACACAAACTGTTTCTCTCTGATTGTGCGAATGCGGCACAACTTCGTTCCACAATGTTCACTTGAGGGTGTAGCCTGATAAGTGTAAATTTCTGGGCACACTTCACATTCATATAATGCACAGCAACTTGGACAGCATGCATAGGAATGCGTGCATGGATCAAGATCAAAGCGATTGAGCACTGTGCGAATATCTTGTAAAAGTTCCTTTAGAATGGGGTTCTCCTTGCCAAAATCTGTGTTCTCTCTCTCATACGACAGAGAAAGTCGCACGAGAGCCCGCAGATCAGCTAAAAGGATGTTGCTTCCTCTGTGAGGAAGACATTGTAGCAGGCTCATTATGAGAGCAACGACATGGTATGCGAGGACCAGTGGCTTCATGAGACGATTGTGAGCTATAAAGTGATGGCCTGAAATGTCTCTGTAAGTAAGGAAGATGCCTCTCATTATTGTAGAAGCTTACTTGTGTCAACACAGATGCTCACAGGTGCAACTGCAATGCCAGACCGGGTGCAGCGTTGCTTGTTCCAGTCTTGCATACGATAGTGTTCTAAATGATCAAGCTCCAGATACAGTGTGTTTTCTAGTTCCATTCATTGGTGAACAAGTCGACTCATCGCCGTATAGCTGTTCCACCTGTAAATTGGCCAGCATCGAAAGAATCCAATTTTCATGCTTAATGAAAGACAGGTTATTTCTGTATTTGACATCAAGTCAGTGGGATCCAGCATTGGCATGTGTAATCTGGTCTGCTGATCGTGAAGTGAATTTCCCAGAAGTTACGGGACTCATGAGAAATTGCAGAGAACCGATAAAGCTAAACGACATAATGACGTCTCAAATATAACCACTCAAGAAGTCTAGGTCAGACTGTGCATGAGCAAGACCATCACTTGGTTTCCTCTCCTGAACAGGTGGCCTAATCACCTGTGAAGTAGAATGAAGTGATGGTGATTTTGAGATATTCAAATGTGGGTGATCGTACAATGTTCTCTGTGTGACAATATTTTGCCCAAGTGTTGAATTTACTTGTGTAAGATCCGATGACCTGATGTGTACTTTCTGGTCCATCGGACTATGCTGCAATGACTGCCCATATTCATCTAGTCCTTGCGTTTGCAAGTAATCGTGCATCTTCTGCTGTTGTGCTCGCTGTTGCTCTGTTCTGCACACTCGCTGCACATTATTAGCCACTGGAAACATGTCGTTCAAATCACAAGGAGTGGGCGATAATGAAACACCTGACCACTATCAATGGAGGAGGATCCTTGTGACCTGATGTTGATCATTTCTACATCCTCCATGTAAGAGATTGAGTAGAGTACAAACAACACCATCATGAATCATGACACACCTGTTGGTATGCTCCTGGATCCTCCTAACACACGATATTTGCAATGTATTACTGACAAGTTGCACACACCAATGTCTCAGAGAATAAGTTTCTTGTGCAAAGGAATGTGCCCGAATGGGTCAAAATACAGAGCTGGCTGTAGACGACAATGTGGACTGATGAGGTGTCATTGTGCTAATACCCATAGAATGTGGCAGACAGGTTGCTGATTATTGATGACTAGAACTACTGCATCAATGGCTCTCTGCCTGGTAAAGAGTATCATTAGAGCCATACCAATTGTCACAAAGCACAAAGCACTTAACCCAATTAAGGGCAAGTCTGCTTGTGTGACTTGCACAAATAAATCCACAATATAAAAGCCTGCCACAAGGGCTAGGCTGAGGATGGCGCACAGTGGCATACAACCAGCAATCAAGGCAAAGCCCCAATGCATGGCCTTGCACAAAAGGTGAAAGGGGAGAGCTGGCCTGCTGGCCGCATACAATAGTTGAATGAATCTAAGGTCTTCCCTTAGATCCTCATGTGCTTATATACATGTAGTGGTGGACCCTGGGTACCCTAACTATGGTGTAATTAATGGGGTCCTGTCCTGTCTACATGTGAACATATTGACAAAACCAGTAATGGTTCTGGACTTCACTATAGCAACTATCTATAAAGGCTGTGGATATGCCAAGGTAATCCTACTTTACCCAATGAGATAATTGCCTGAAGGTGGTGCCACTATTTGAGTGGCTGAAGTGGTGCCACTTATTGAGTGGCCAATAGGGGTTCTGCCATAGCGCATATTCTAATGCTGGTGCTACTATTTGGCAGCCATGTAGTTGATGCTGCTATTTGAGCAGCGAATTGGGTGCTTGCTAGCTTGATGGTCCAATGAGCACGGGTAAGCCTATTGTGGGCCAAAGAGTTCCATTCTGGGCAAGTGGCCTGGTGTCACGTGACCAACACCTGATAACTTCTAAATAGAGCAAGTGGCCAGTGTCATGTGACTGGGTGGCTGAATCATGGGCGCTTGGTGGTCGTGTGGTAGACACAGTCATATCTGCGATGTATGTGGTGGTATTGTGCTGTTTGTCTAAGTATCCACTTTGTGAGACCAATATGAAGGTTGACGTCTGAATAACCACTTGTGGTTGCTGAATGATGACTTTATTGGTGCAGAAAGAAAGGTGCCACTTAATACTGTGACACCGATACTGATACTGCGCTCACTGGTTCCTAATATGAACACTGTGATGAGTTCAGGCCTTAGTGTTTGTTTCTTTTCAGTATCTGCTCAAGTGGATGGCATGTGTACTAGAACTAACCACATCACATTGAGGAGAGAGCCCAAATTATGCACAACTGACTTACAAAGAAGAAGCATGTAGAGTACTGATATGTCTCACAGACAGGTTATTGCCATAATTAAATCCTGGCCATCTTCTGACGTGACAGCCGATGCATTCAATACAATGAGGGAAACCACAATGACAATCAGGCCCACTTGCATCATGACCAATTGGATGAAGCACGTAAGCATGCATGACCACATGCACATATTGCATGAATGGCAAGCCAGATCTGTTGATGACTGATTAATAGCTGAATTCCTGAGATACAGTGACCCACAAAACTGTTGATAAGATTGCTTACTTCGACTTGTATAGTAAATATCTCCTCAACCAATGGGTCAACTACATTGTATAAGAACTCATTGGAAAGCGTATTATCATGGCTTTCTAGGTCATATTTTTATCTCATTTTGATCCCAAGGTATTTACTAATCTTTGAGGGTCACTCTTATCAACAGTTTTGTGGCACACACACAAGTTCTCAGAAAATTGTGATTCTTGATGTGTTGACAGGGTTCTTTGTGGGAATATTGATTGATGTTCATGTTTCAACATGAACAATGTACAAACAGCCATACACAACTCTTCACACTCAACCAACATCATGCCAAAAGCTGTTGCTACTGAAACTGTCAACCATGTCATCGCTTTGCTTCAGAATGGCAAATCTCTTCGAGAAATTGAAGCTTTGACTGATCTACACTACTCAACCATCAGTAAACTACGCTCCTCACACTGTCCCACCATTTCTAAGGCCAAAGGAGGACGACCTTACCTTCTTTCTACTGCCAATCTTCGCTATGCTACTCGACTCATTGAGACTGGCAAGGCTACCACATCTCCTGCTGTGGCCAGAGCTCTTGGAGATGTTACTGGGAGGGTTGTCAATGCAGAGACAGTGCGAAGAGGGTTGAAGAAGGCAGGAATGAAGGCTGTAGTAAAGCACAGAAGGCCTTTACTTACTGCAAGGCATCAAAAGGAGAGGATGGACTTTGCTTTGGCTCATCAATATTGGACTGTGGAGGACTGGAGAAGGGTGATATTGTCAGATGGGACAAAGATTAACAGGATGGGGTCAGATGGAAGGAAATGGATGTGGAAGAAGCCAGGGGAGAGCCTTAGCGATAGGTTGGTGGCACCAGAAGTTTGGAGGTGGATCCTTGATGATGTGGGGCTGTATGGGCTGGGATGGTGTGGGGTATGCCTGCAATATTGATGGCAGGATGGATGCAGACCTTTATGTCAGCATTCTGGAGGATGAGCTGCAGAATAGCCTGGAGGATTGGGGCAAAACTGTGGAGGATGTGGTGTTTCAGCATGACCCCAAGCACACCAGCAAGAAGGCCAAGGATTGGTTCAAAGTCCATGATTTCAACACTATGATATGGCCCTCTCAATCCCCAGATCTCAATCCCATAGAGAATTTGTGGGGTCATCTCAAAAGGAAGCTTGCAGAGTATCAGGAGCCACCAAAGGGAATTACTGAGTTGTGGGAAAGGGTGGAGAAGGAATGGGAGGCTATTGGGAAGGAAGTGTGTCAGAATCTGATTGAAAGTATGCCAAGGAGGGTGCATGCAGTGGTGAAGGCAAAGGGAGGCTATACCAAGTACTGAAAGTACAAGTTTTATAGAACCTGGATATGAGCCACAAAACTGTTGATAAGAGTGACCCTCAAAGATTAGTAAATATCTTAGGATCAAAATATGGTAAAAATATGATGAAGACTGCATTAGAAAGCCATGATGATACGCGTTCCAATGAGTGCTTATAAAATGTAGTTGACCCATTGGTTGAGGAGATATTTACTATACAAGTTGAAGTAAGCAATCTTATCAACAGTTTTGTGGGTCACTGTACATGTGCAACGTACAGCATAGTGAGATGGTGATGAGCCCAACATCAGCTACATATACTGAGTTGGGGATCAAGGCATGCCTCTCCGGTGGCTTCAGTGCCGTGGTTTTGATTATCACCAAGGAAGCCAGTGCTGAGAAAACCATCCCACAACAGGCAGACAGATACTTGAGCCAGTGAACTGATCAGAACAACGATGATTCATTATATTGCAGCAGTCAGCATCAGACACCTTATTTGATGAATATGAGATGTTTCATGGTCTATTGTCACTCCAGTAAATTGATTAGACAGAGCATCTGAGCTTTGACATTGCTTACCATCGAACGTTCGGCCTACCTATCCTCCTCGATTCTTTTAAACTTCTATGCTGCAGAGCACACTACAGCTAGATGTGGTTACCATAATGAGTGTCTGCTGTTCCCGGTCCAATAAGAAGGCCAGCACTTTCAATTTGTTGGCTTCTTCCTCCTCCTCCTCCTCCTCCTCCTCCGTGTGCATGCGAGGAGTTGCCCACCACATCTCCTCATTATTAATGTACTCATCATGCATGCCTGTTAGTTGCCTCGCTCACTGTCCTTGGCCTTGCTGGCACTTTTGCCCTTCTGACTGCCAGTGGCAACGATGTCTTTCACTGTCGCAAGATGCTCAGTTTCGGACCAGTGCTCCCACATTCGTCTATCACACGGAGCCTTGCTATTCACTCTCTAGCATCCTCAGTGAGACTACTGACCCTTAAGAGGTGGCACAGCACTTCACGCAGGACCTCACCCACAATACTGCTCTGGCCAGCTCCTTCGTCATCTGCAAGGACTCGTACACTGATAAGAACACTGGTGTCACCCATGTGTACATTCGCCAGTATCTGCACAGCATCGAAGTTGCAGATGGCAATATCAACGTCAACGTGAAGGATGGTGTCGTACTCTCGTATGGTGACTTGGTGAGTGGCAACAACATATCTATGCATGAGTGCTCTGCTAACCAGGCCTGGCAGATGCCCACTCCGAGCATTGTGCCAGCTTATGGTCCGAGCTCGAGATGCGTGCTGTGCAAGCTGAGGAGCTTCTCGCTCAACAACTGGCAGCACAGTCTGACCAGGCAACCTTGACAGACATGACACATTCCATTGAGTATGCCCTCGATGACCTTCTTTACTTCTTCGACTGAAATTGTGCACACATCAGCACGCCGTATTTCATGGCACATCACCAGTGCTTCATCGCCCAGGATGTAGACACACTCAATGATCTGACGTGGATGCTCTTTTGGTTCATGATTGCCACAATACCCAATGTGTCACTTGCACAAGACATTATAGAAGACCCCGCATCTTTCCTCGCCAAGATTTTGTCTATATGGGAGATGCAGTTTGTCGGGGACCAGGGCTCAATCACCATGCTGATTGACAATGTCCCCTATGCTCTCAGCCCCGTTGGCTAGGCTGGCATCTGTGCAGGTCCCGCAAGGTGAATCTACTGCACTTGAGCTCATCTGGAAGGTAAGCACCACGTGATCACATTCTAGGAACTGATTTGCTGATGTCCCATTCAGTTCGAGGTGGAGATGCAGGACAACTGGTGCAAGACTGCGGTGTCAGCTGCATCACTGCATCACATTGTTTCTGTTGTCAACTGGGCATCTGACCTGCCTGTTCCCACACCCAAGCTACCATCATCCCTGGAGCATGCGATATACAAGGTGTTGGCATGGGGCATCAATGACCCATCTGTGGGCAACCGGTCAATCCAGAAGGAGAACTATGATGTCCTCACGAGTTCTATTGGCTGGCACTCTCTGCCGTTCGCGAACAACCCACAGTCTATGTCGCACAAGGTGGAGAGCAGCCGGAATGGTGAGAAGCTCTGCAAGACAATGATGACTTAGGGCAGCGATGTGTTTGCACATGAGAACTTGAAGGGTCGTAACGTATGGAAGCTGAACTACCACCCGAATGCAGATGCTGATATGGTGTTCAAATATAAGTATGTGCCGACGGAGATAGACTGCACAGATGCGCTTGGTGAGGCAAAGAAGTACATCAATGCAACAGTTATGCAGCTCTTCTACGTGAGTGACCTCTGCACGACCTTTGCCACCAGTATGGCTTGGACAAGGTCTTGGGCAACTTCCAACAGCACAACTTCGGACGTGGCAGTGCAGAGAATGGTGCGGCATTCGTGAACGCACAGGACAGCAGCAGGTACAACAACGCTAACTTTATGATGCCACCTGACTGCCAGAAGGGTTGCTGCAGGATATACATCTAGAACACAGTGAACCCGTACCACGATGGTGACATGGAAGCGGGCATCATCATCTACGAGCTGAGCTGTGGCTGAGCATGCATTTCACTGGTGGCCCTGCAGACTTGGGCCGTCTTGGTTGGGGTGAGTCAGGAGGCATGAGTGAAGGCTAGGGAGACTTCTTGATGATGATGATCAGGAGCACGAGCACCTACTCAGACTACGCGATGGGTGTGTGGGCTGTGAATCGGCCGACAGGTATCTGCAACTACTTATATTTCTTGTCGCTGTTGCTCTTGTTCTCTCCTGCTTACTTGCTAATGTTTTTCTTTTTTTTGCAGAACAAGACGATCAAACCGTCGATGTGCAAGACTCTCAACAAGCCCAGTTATTAGGGTGTCCATGCGATTAGTGAGATCTGGGCAGAGATGCTCTAGGTTGTTGGGCAGCATCTGATCATCAAGCATAGATTTGTCGACAGTCTGTTCCTGCCTTCACCCTGCAAGGATGGCACAGTGCCTGATAGTGACTTCTATCACCCGGTGAAGCTGACGCTCGATGATGATCGCAAGCTGCTCATCCCGAAGCATGGTAACTCGCTCATCGTTAGTGCATAGCAGTCATTCACACCTTCACATTCATAATACTGACTAAACGTGCAGACTTGTACTCAACTGCATGAACCTCCAGCAGTGCCGGCCACCGTTCTTTGATGCATGTGACACGATCATCCAGGTGGACTCGATCCTTACTGGCAGTGAGAACCACTGTGACCTCTGGGCCGCATTTGCTGAGTGTGGACTCAGCCTCAATGTCACTGTCGAAGGCCACGCACCTAGGGCAGAGGATTGCACACAAATAACTTTAAGGTGCCACGGAAGTACAACACCACTTCATCGGAGGTGTTCCTGTAGGTTCTGTTGGTACAGCCACAAGCCACAAGAAGTTGCTTAGTCAGTTATAGCTTATTGAATGATGAGATTGTTTAATGTGCAGATCTCCATGGTTGCTTGGTGCCTAGAGTTAATATGAATGAATGAAGTGGAGCCCGTCTGCCAGTGTCGGGTGAGTAATAATGATACATGTGTAAAATGGCGTGGATCTGACGCTGGTTGCTGGATTGGGGTGTTGCCGCCGCTCGAAGCCGATGTGCAACTGGGATGGCCATGTAAATGTGTACCGACTGTTTCTATCGAGTCTTCAATGCTTCATCAGCAAAAGAAAGAGTACAATATCTGATCCGTTCCATTGAGATGACAAAGGAGGCTATATTACACAGTTCACTTCAATCACAAGTCCAAAAGTCCAAAAACAAACCCATTCACACTGCACGACAGTAGACCACCTCCTCCTCCCTCACTCCTTCTTCTTGCTATCCTCATCTTGTCCAAAGAGAATCACATCCACCTGCACTTTCTTCTCTCTGAGCTGCAAGAGCAGCCCCCACAGGGGTGTCAGTAGCGGTATGAACATTGCAACGTGCTCACAGTAGGCACTGTACACCTCAGGATACTTCGACAATGAAATGCTTTCAGTGAAGCAAGTCGAAGAGAAGAACAGTACACATAATATGAGAGCAGGCATCAGCAGCCACAGAGGCATCATGGATGTTGTTGAGAGAAAGGGCAGGTTTGGTGACTCGGGTGCAAGCAAAGGGAACAATGTGATGAGGGCCTAACAGTGATATCACTATGAGCAGTTGTACATTGAGACACATTTGCAGCATATGTACTCCAGAAGGTCTGTTCGCAAAAAAAGTTTGGGTGTCTCGACCACGTCCAGAGCCCACGTGTGACAAATCCATGCTTAGCATCCCGTGGTGTCCATTTGATACGCGCACCAATCCACTCGTTCTTCTCATGAATGCCCATATGCTTGTATATCTGAAACAAGTATTGCTGGTTGGCCGAGACAAATTCTAGGACGATGTCAATGAGTGCAAGGGCTCCAAGCACATAGTCGAAAGTGCTGAGGCGTGCAGGCTGCTGGAAGATGGCGATATGCATGGGGATTCCAAGGAGGAATAGTATGATGTTTTGGATCATGGCTGTCAAAGGGTCAGCACATGTCAAAAGGGATTGTGATTGTCATTTACCTATAAAAACGAGGTTGACGATCTGGAACAACCAGCAGGGTATCTTGTTTCGGACAATTTGCCAACGGTAATCTTCATCGTGGCTATCGATAGGGATAATGAGTCAATGCAGCTACCATGAACGATGAAACTAACAAATTGAACAACCCTCTCCTCCACGTGTTGTATGAGAGACTGAGTGCATCGTGAGTAGGAGCTCGTGCTAAGTCTAGCGAGCGCGAGGCCAACCGGAACATTCATATTACCTAATGGAGATAAAGTTAAGTCAGTTAAGCAGAGTCTATTGAGAGTGCTTGTGCACATACCACCAAACCTAACATCAACAATGCCCTCAGACTGTACCATTCTGTAACAGCGTGGTAAATATCCTTGAGAGTAGAAGGCCACAAAGGCATCAACAGCTCATGCAGCCAGAAGGGCAGCAGCACATAGTTCAGGAGCGGCGTGGGCTGAGGGAACTTCTCCGGAAGGATGAGATGTTTAAAGGAGATGAAAAGACGCATCTCTGCATGCAACCAGTGATCAGAGATAATGGAGATGTAGTAGTTGGGTGGGACAGGCTCGAACATAGGGACGGTAATTGTGACATTGTGTTTGTCTTCAGCATATCTCTGATGCAGAAGGAACGTGTCATGGAAGAGAATAATTTCACTGTCAATGTCCTCGACCATGATCCAGAAGGATTCAGTGGTGCCATGAATCTTTTTGTCCAATCTGAAGTCAGGAATGATGGTCAAATCGATATGAAGGAGAGCCCTGGTGATTGGTTGGACCTGGGCTTGCAATCTAAGATGACATATCAACATCCGTGTCATACAAAGGTGGAAATGGAAACATACTGAAGTTTAGGGAAGCTATGTAGCGAACGATGAACCAATCTTCTGGCATTCTGAATGTCGACCAGCTCGCCGATTTCAGGAGAACTCTAAATGCAACATTAGTGACATGAGCATTGATGAGGACAAAGATCAAACAAACCAGATTGAAGTAACGGTACCAAGGCTGTGAAAAAATGTAAGCTTCAAGTAATGTAGTGACCACAATGAACTACTCACGAATTGCTTCCCCTCTGCCTTTCTGATAATCTCAGCAGGAACACCCTTGTTGTGAAGGAGTCATCGAACTCCACCTAGGAACTCTGTCAGTAATCCTGAATATCGTTGAGAGGCCCACACATACATTCTTCGGTCCACCACCTTGCACAGATCAAGACAAGCCTTGGCCAGAATTGCCCATCCACGCTTCAAGCAGATCTAAAACATTGCTCAGAGAATACTAGAATCATCTATCAATAACAAGTTCACACAACGAAGGAAAGCATGCTTACCATCCAGCTGATTGCTGCACATATACCACGTTCACAATAAGAGCAAAGCCTAGAATGCCCACGTTAGCAAAACTGTATCTCCTTACCAGTACGATTCAACGAACCTTCAAGCTTGAGCTGTGAGATGTATGCTTGTAAAAGCACGTTGATCTTCGCAGCCAGCTCTTTGACACTCTCCTTTACTGGAATAGAGACTCACTCCAACAGCTTTTCCAGCTCCAGCTTCTCCTGTTAGACATGCATCAAATGAGTTACCTGTATTCTGGGATATCGTACAGACGCCACTTACATCTTGTCGAACCTGTAAAAGCATTCAAATTGAGTATCATATATTTTTATAACAACACCAAATTCACATACCGACAACAATTTGAACTCATTGGACAGAGCAAATACCCTAAAAAGCTCCAGTGTTGTTATTGTTGGCCTGAGATGCTGGTTGTACATCACCATCGAGTTGTGTATCACGTAGTAATAAGAGGCAATGTGACCTAGCTCAGTGCCATGGAACCGTCCAGGTGCCCACTTGTACTTGATGAGATGGCACTTCTCAGGAATGATGGCGGCCGTGTGCGCGATATCCACACACTTCTGCACCAGTGCCGGATCATCCTCGAGGTAGTCAACACCAACACTGTAGAGTGCTGGATCCTTCAGCATATGCATGTACAGGTATGTGTGGTCAATCCATTAGACAGGACGAGGAAGAGGACTAGCAAGCACAAGTTATAAAGATAACGATTTGTCAAGCAAGGGGCTATGACAAAAAGAACTGAGGTGGGCCCACAGGGCCACACAGGTGCCGGGTGTCAAGCCCACAAGGGGATATATGCATGCGTCTATACTTCGAATACGTATAGTGTGTCTCCATTTACAAAGTTTGTGTCGTCCTACATTCAGTGGCCATGATCATGCTTGAAATGGTGCTTGTGCCATTTCACCATGCCCGGGGTGGGCATGGGAGCAAAATCGGGAATCTCGTGGCATGCTGCAGCAGTAGCGATTGGACCAAGCAAGGAGATGTATGCGTCCTGGGAGATGTCATCCTGTGGGCCGTCATGGTAGCCATAGATGTCATTGTAAGCTGGCGGCATGTAGTACCCCTTGAACATCTGTAGGAGCATGCAGGTTAGCAGGCATGGAGGCAGAGAGAAGGCTTAAGACAGGTGTGCATGTTGTTCTGCTCAGCTTGCATCCAGTACATGGGGTATCTGGGCCAGATCGTGCAGTCGCCCAGGTTGGCAGCTTCGTTGAAATCAGGGTTCTCTCGAAATTGTCTGGACAGCATGGGCATGCCAATGGGAGTGGTACTCATTATGCCGGTGATGTCGCAGTGGAAGCCGTTCATGTACACTGAGCGACAACAGCTAGATGAGCAGTCATGTTCCCCATCACAGGTCTTGAGATGACTTACTCTGTTTCACACTGCTGTCATCCTGTATGTCCACCACACTCCATCAGCATCTGCTCACCAGCCTGAGAAGCCAATATCCAACTCACCGAGTGGATCCAGAACCATGCACACATGCAGCCACCGTCGAGACACTCGGGCATGTTAGCAGAAACATCGAACGTGGTGTTAAGGTACCACATGCAGGTCTGGTTCATGCTGAAGATGACAAGGTCATCGGGCTGCACGTCGTTCGCATCCAGCTTGTACGCAATCGTGAGCGTGCACCCGTGCACGTCCTCTTCACCTGTCGTATGGAACTGCGAGAACGGTTGCTCTGGGCAGGGCTAGTTGAAGCCGTAGTCAGCATCCTGGCTGCGAGGTGCAGACAAGGTGAGGGAATGAAGTTAGATAGAGAGGAGGGTGGGAGGAAGGGGAGGAAAATGCAGCCGGAGGAGGACGCGTACCATGAGGTGACACCCTTATCGCAGGAAAGCTCCGCTGCCAGAGGACCCAGGACCCCCGAAAACTCCTATGGGAGGCCGGTCCAAAAATCACTGATTTTTGGACTTCCTGTTTGGACAGCTTTTTCAGAGTTCATGTCTGGATAGCTGTCCAGCCTCTGGGACCCTGAAGTTTCCGTCTGGACGTTTGACTTGCCTTTTGGCGGCCCACCTCTTTGATTCTGCTTGTACATATTTGTTTTGTGGCTTGAAGTAAATTGCTACTATTTTCCTCGGCCTTCCCCCTAATCCATGTCCAGATGCTAGACTGGTCTATCAGAACATATGGAAAAAATGTCTGGACATTTTGACAGGCATTTTGGACATTGGGGGATCATTTTGTCTGGATTTCAAAGTGGCCCAAGGCTTCAAAAGTGTCCATTCGTGTCCGGACGGTCGACTGGCCTCATATAGGGATTTTCAGGGGTCCTAACAAGCCACGCTGGGGGCATGGTGATTTAAGTCTAAATGGTTCTGCCACGACGATGTGAGAACAAGTGAGCAGAATTCTGCAGAGTAGGGTGCAGGGAGCTAATTAGATGCTTTGCGGTCAGCATCGCCTATGCCTAGGCCTTGCATTTTACGCAGTGATGGACAGAATATCATCTTCTCTTTTCTTCCACTGACAGGGGATATAATATGTTGTAAATATGCATCATTTTAACATGTGGGTTATTTATTTAAAATTGTAAAATATAACACCAATTAAGATTTAAAATATTATGCCAAGACCAATTGTGATTGGCCCGATCATCTGTTTCCAGGAGGAAACATTTTGAACACATGCAGCAGCCACTTAGAAAACATCCTGAATTCATGTGGGAATCATTGCAGCAGCATTTTAGAAGCATTTTAAGTGTTTTTCTGATGCCTTTGTAAAGCAAGCAATTTTTTCTGTAAATGTATGCAAGCTGCATATGCCCTATCTATATACCGGGTGCCGTTGACCCCCAACGGCAATGCTCAGAGGGACCTCTATAGCACACTCAATTCTTATGCTATGCTCTTCAAAATACCCTCATCTGAAAGCCACGCTTCGAATCTCGGAGGCCCAAAGGGGCCCCAATGCCCAGTTGAGCGGAACGGGCACTGTAGGCTTCCCGATCGGGCGGGTTTCCTCACGGTGGTGGTTTGGTCAACATTGGTCCTTCTGAGGCCGTCAGTTGCTTCTATCATCTCATTTTTGTTGGGGCCCCCTCGCTCTATATCTCAAGCACCCATGTAATTAAATTCTGATTATTTTGTAATTTATTTGTGTTTCTACGCGATGCCCTTTCAACTCAGTCGGTAAGCGCCCGTTATGGTCCTCGCGACATTTTGCTTTTTCCTCTCGTGCATCGCAATCCGCTCACTCCTCGTTGCTGGGGCCCCCTAGCTATTCATCTTAATGACCCGGGTGCCAAATTTCATGTCTTCCGGTACTGTTTTCAAGCCTCCATGAGGTGCCCTTTCCCCTCATGTGCCTGGCGCCTCTGACTCCCCGATTGGGGAGTGTGCTCGCGTCGTCCTCCCCTCATCTTCCTTCGACCTCATTCATGTCTATCTCCTCCCATTTACTCTCATTGTCTTCTGCTTAGGTTAGCATGGCGTCCGCTCTCAATTTGCAGGTGAGTATTAGCCTTCGTTCGAACGATATTGACTCTTCAGCGAACAAGCGCGTGCGCGCGCGCTCTACAGCACCCACCTCCTACCAACCACCTCCTCCTTCGTTCACCACCGGATTCTCCCCGCTCAAATCGATTCTGCAGGCCTCCCACATCCGCCATGCACGCACGCCCTCACCCGATCACAACGGCTTGCGAGCGAGCAAACGCATGCAAAACACAGCGATGGGTCAGCGGCGACGCAGGAGGAGGGCCAGTCGTTGGGTCTCAGGGAGCGCGTATGTGGGCCAGAGCGGACGTAGGGCGGGTTGGGATGTTATACTAGGTGAGCCGCCGTCGCTCTCGCCCTTCTACAGCGCACCGGTGCGTGCGCTCGCGTCCCTCACCATCACGGCGTGCAAACACGCTGTGTCGTTCGTTCGCCGCTACCGCCTTCCCCGCACCCAACGAGACGAGTCCATCGCATACGGCGGGCCACGCTCTCCTCACCGTCAACATGCCTCACGAACGCGCGCACGTTCACCACCGCAGCGTGCAAATACGCCGTGTCGTTCGTTCACCAGTACCATCTTCCCCGCAGCCAACTGGACGAGTCCATCGCGTACGGCCGGCCACGCTCTTCTCACCGTCAACGTAACGTCGCGAATGCGCACCCATCTGCACGCCATCGCCACTGTCGTCAGCGGCGTCGCAGGAGGAGGGCGAGTCGTTCGTTCTCAGGGAGCGCGTAGATGGGCCAGAGCGAATGTAGGGCGGGTAGGAACGGGTTTTCAGGTGAGTCGCCATTGCTCTCGCTCGCGTCCTTCACCAACATGACGTGTTTGCACGCCGTGTCCTTCGTTCGCCGCTACCGCATTCCTCGCACAGAACGAGACGACTTCACCGCGTACGGCCACGCTATCATCGCCGTCAACGTAGCGTCACAAATGCGCGCACATCTACAAGGCCGGCCCACCGTCGCCAGCGGCGCCGCAGCAGAAGGGCGAGGTGGGGATCTCATGGAGCGCGTAGGTGGGCGAGAGCGGACGTAGGCGGGGTCATTTGCACGCACCAGGTGAGTTGCCATCGGCCTGTATCGTGCGCCGCGGTGCGGCGCATGCACTCACTGTTTTAGCGTCC